AAAAAAAAAAAATACAAACAAAAAGCCCACGCGCAACAAAGATAAATTGATCGACTCCTTTGGCGAGGCCCTGGCTTGATTAACGAACGGAACTTGCTGTAATTTTTCGAGCGCTCTTTTATTTCGACGCAGACACATATTCCGCGCACGGGCAATCAAACGGGCTACTTTTTCGGGATGAGCCCGCCGAAATTTCATTTTTTGCCCCCGTCTCTATTTGCAAAGGCTAACGCAACTCCCTCGACAAGCGTGACTTGCACGCGCGCCACTGAATTTTAATTCGCTCGGCGGCCGCCGCATGGCAAATGGATTCGTAATAACGCGCTTTTTCGACTGTTGCCGCCCCGCCCGCGAGCAGATGTCTTCGCGGCTTTTTACTTCTTTTCTCTTTTTCGAGAGTGGCGCTCGTGCCGCTGTCGATTCATTTTTATGCTAATTTCTTCTTTTGCCTTTTCGCAGACCCGTAGACGGCGAAAAATAGAATTGCAATACGGACAGACGTGGTTTTGAATAGGACCAAAAAAAAAACAAAAATTAACCGGAATACTTTTGCGTAAAGAGCATGTTTTGAAAATATATTTCAAATATTGAAAGTCCATTTTTTATCAAAGTCATAGTTTGAAAAAAATAATTCTCTCGGAAAAGCGAATTGTATGAAAGTGGCCTTGAAAGACTTGGATATATAGTGCAACTAGATTATCTGTTACAGTAGTTTATAATATAGTAATTTACAGGATATTTTCTACTGTAAAATGTGATGAAATAAACGTTGCTAGTAAAGTGATAATAAATTAAGATCGATGTTCCTCTCAAGGAGTAAAAATGTATTCCTTTGCCCTCTTACGAGCGGAAAAGTCGGACATAAAATTCCAAAGCTCCAAATAAACAAGGATGGATGGAGAAGCATCAAGCACCTCAGTAATAAATTTACTTTCCGGAGTCAGATTTTGCTTGTGTTAATTCGTATTAATAACACTGCTTTGGCTGCACTTGTCGTGGAATGATTGAAAAAAAAATGCAACTCGTAAAAGCAGAATAGTAAAACAGCAGTTTCAACGCTCCGTAATCGCAAGCTTATCGCGGCACTCATCAAGCTCACGGCTAATAGAGTCTTTCAGAGGCATTTACGCGCTCATGACATTATACGAGCGCGTCTATTGTGAAGGTGTAGCGTGTCAGCATATATGTATGCCGGGAGCGAGAGCCGTGTCGTTTTATAAATGGCAGTCGTGGCAAGCGGAAAACGAGCAACAATTCGCCCGAGGCGCCTAAACGCCGCGCCACTTCGGAATCGTTAAATCTTCCGTCAACGCGTTTGGCGACCTACCGCTCGCAGAATCGTGACGGCTTATACGCGCGGTTATCTTATCGTTCAATAACCTGCGCTCGGCTTAGGCTAATGTCGAACCGCCTTTTATTGACCTTGACATTTTATGTTGTACCATGTTCATGAAATAATTATGTAAATGTGCATCGATGAAACTGCGAGTGTAATAGCACGGTTTAACTGGCGAAAAAAATTGTATTGTTGACATCCAGTATTCTATCGGTAAACGTATTCACCACTACCAACATTTCTTTTTTGCTGTGAATAAGATTTCTACGAAGTACTGAAAGAATGACTAAGAACTGTTCACGACAGTATTTTACTACCATACAGAAAACAAATATGATTCTCACGTTTTCCATTAGTTATCCAAGTTTTTCTACTTAAGCAGTTGGCCTGACAATAGAAGGTCCAACTAAATCTGTTCCTGCAATGTGTCAACGACAAGCACTCCCACCTGTAGAGCAGAAAAAAGTATTGGCAGCGCGCGACATTCTCTTTGTCGTTTGTGTTATTTTACCCCATTCACGTTTTCATTACCGCGACGATTATACAAACACACCGCAGCCGTTGCGCAATAAACTAAGCTGAACGTGACTGTTCGAGGAAAATTTACAGAAAAAAAGGCCACCCTCATTGTTCGTATTTAAGGATGATATGTTTTCCAATCGAATGCGGCAGCGGACGCGTATTTCTATGTTGAGACCAACCCGGAACACCAAGGCGATACTCTGCGAGCACCATTGAAAACCAAGCTGTGACTGCGTGACGCAATTTCACATGCACGGCTTTGGAAGAGAAAATAAAAAGTCCTCTCGACTTGCGAATACAAAGGTCGGAAATGTCGAGCGAGCTACTCTCCATATTGCGCTGCCGGTGTCGCGCTGCTTTTGCAAGCTACTCAAATTTGATTCCGAGATCGCGCGTTTCACTTTAATCTGCGATGGCAAGATTATACCCGGAGACAATTAATTGATTAGCAATAATCAGGAAACAACGAAGTCGGGCCGATGGACAAAAAACAAAGCTAGACCTTGTCGATCGGATCGGGAGGCAGAGAATAGCGATTACCGCTAGTCGCGTCCACGAGATGAGATGCGCGCGCTCTTGAGTATTCGATCCTAAATGCCATCCCCCTCCTATCTCTCTCTCTCCCTCTCGGTAATTTCATCGACGCACAAAGCCTCGCGCGCTATACACACGAGAAGGTAAATACACGGCTCTTCCTCTGGCTCGGAATTCGATTTCCATCTACCACGCGCGAGCGCGAATACCATTACATGCGCGGCGATCGACGCTAATTGAGAATTGAGAGAGAAAAGCGATTTATCGGCATATCATTTTTATCTAATAAGCAAGCGATGCCACGCACTTTCAATGTCTTAATTAACCGTTAATTGACTCTTCTTTTATTCTTCTTCGTTGCTTGAAATCCGGCAACAAGGCATCTTCAATGAGTTGCACCAGTGAATTGCCGAAACAGCTTTGCTTTTGTTTTGAGCATAATACGCAAACGTCTTCCTGAAATTTCTCATGCTCTTAATAATGTGCACATGCACTCTCTTTCTATCTCTCAGAAGATAAATTATGAAAAGCGTCGTATGAAAGAAGGTTGTTCGATGCAAGCATGTAAAGTGGATTAAGCTTTCAAAGAGCATTAGGAAAAACATTCATGAATTTCAAAGGGTTATTGGCTCATTGAGACTATAAAAATAATAACGTCAATAATTATCGTGCGAGTCGTGCAAGCGCTACTGCGGAATTTTGTAATGCGGCAATCAACGCAACGTATAAACAGCGATATTACTGTCGATTGATGTCTGCGGAAAGTTTATCATTACCAATGATATTAAACTTCAATGCTACTAATTAAATCATCTCCAAAACATTCAAATTGATTTCAAAAAGTATACTTTTAACAACGAGATCAAGCGGTAATTGGATTTAAAATTGATACATAAATTGTTGGGTTACATCCTTTAATCGTTCGTAAATCTCTCCTTTTTCCAAGAGTTATTACGGCCATTAAAATCTTACACAGTGCGGACACGCCGAAAATATTCACGTGGCGATTCATGCGAAAATACCGATAAAAACATATGAATCACACGAACATGTGAATATATAGCGATAATCCACACCATTTACACGTATATGTGCAGCCGCTTGCACACACGTGTAATTACTCAATCATGTGCGAAGAAAAATTCAGGTCACGTTCAACTTGAACTTTCTACCAAATGGCATATACTTATCAACTGCTGCGGAGTGTTCAACATGTGCACTGGGCACGCATCTCCCTCAAATATCAGACTTTCTGCGACCGGAAAGTGTCGTCCTTATTCATTACAAAACGATTTACTGACTGCTGCGATAGGCATAATTAAAATCTTGTTGATAAACGCAGGTGAAAGTGATGGATTCACTCGGGACCTCTCGCAATGCCGTTTTACACGGCGCATCGATACTGACATTGATAACGAGGTCCGGTCTCTCTTTCTTTTTTTTTCGAGTTGATTTTCAAATAATAGGCTTTTCCATCTACAACATACATATTATAGATGAACTATTTCATTTTTTCTTTACGAAAAACTTAAATTTTTACTCTGCCACCTGAAGTTTTTCAAGACAAGTCGTTTATCTTTTATACTATTCATTACCATATTTAATTATTAACAGTTGTCAACGGAGTAATGAAAAATTGTTGTTTTAAACAGTATTATATTCTATAAAAATAAGTTTGTCAATAACATAAATAAAAAATAGCAAAGAAAACAGTTTGGCTTTGAATAAAACAACAGCATGTACACTTGATATTGGAACGTTCAGTGGATTTTATCAGTCTCACGCTTGTTACCCTCTGACAGGTGAACACGTGCTCATTACTCCGACGTTATCGTACATAAGTGTATATACCTTTTTATCCAGAGGGGCTTGTTTAAATTGTTCACAAACGCAATCTGAAAGAAATCTTATCCACGGCCCATACACCTAATTAAATAAAGATTGTCGTTCGGTTGCTTCCTTTTTTAAAAGCACGCCCAAAGCTTAATCGTCGCTTTGCATTAATTTTGATAACACGTTATTTCCGTGAATGTCTCTCGAAGCTTCAGATATATATTTATTTTTAATTTCAATGAAAAATCGATAAAACACTCAAAAGAGTTTCGAAACGACGAGAGAGAGAGAGAGAGAGAGAGAGAAAGAGACGTCGGTCGTCGTCGCAATTTCCTCCTTCATAACGTGCAAAACAAAGAAATCGCATGGGATCAGAATCGCGCATATACGCGCGGCGAATTTCCGCGATTTCGTATCGGGTGTCCCCCCATGCGAGCAAGTAAGCCAAGCAAGCGTCTTGCTTGGCTATCGGTTCGTTATACAATCGCAACACACATACACAGACGGAGGTGCATTATAATGCCGCGCTCTCTCGTTCTCGCTGTGCCGCCTCTCTTTTTTTCTCTCCTATTCGCCTGCCAAAGAGTGAGAGAGAGAGAGAGAGAGAGACAGAGTAGGTGTGGCGTTAGAAATAGCAAAAGCTGCAGGAGGGGGTTGCCTGAGCGTCGCGCGCGTACAGAAAATGAAAGTGAATTACCTATATAAAGGGTGGATTTTCAGTTGGCGCGCCGCAGACCACGTTCCAATTTAGCGCATATTAGGACGCGCACACACACGCCGAGTTAAGCACGCCGGGAGTACTAGGCGCTCGACATGAGGGTTCTGGTACGTATACACGCATCCCTCGTTCTTTGCGCATTCTATCGCTTCGTTTTCGCTTTCATCCTCTATTTCGCCTTTGCCACACAGGGGCCAGTTCACCCTTCCCTTTCCGCTTTCTCGCTTCCTCGCTTTCTCGCCTCTTTGCCAAAATCTGTCAAATCAACTGCTAATCGACGATCAAATTATTGCACTTGAATAAACCTGCATTGCTAGTATCCTAAATTGTTATAATATTTACAACAGATTTATCGTAGCTGCTTAACAAAGCCAATTTACTTTGATCTCCTTCCATTCTAGACTAACTGGAATCGCTTAGTCCTCTAAAGCTACACTTTGATCCTTTTCCTCCGTCATTTTGTTTTTCTCACAGGTCGTTTTGACCTCCGAAAAAGTGCACACGTGTCGACGTCGCCCTTTCGGAAGTTCGATTTCAGTGCGTTCCGCGAGCGGCGCGAAATCCGCTTATTGTGCGAAGCGTGAAATCGGGTAATCGGCCGAGTTGATCGGGGTGCGAAATAAAAGTGCATCCCGCGTGTGCGGTTTCGCGCGCCAGCCGCCGGAAAAAGAACATCTCTCATATTTAATGGCGATGACTCTGTTCTTTTCTTACTCGTATCTGTCAGTGCAACGATATGCCTTTTCGGCGCTCAATTTTTATAACGACTGCGTTAAGCGTGAAAGATGAATCTCGCGCATACGGACGTTTCACTCGTATTTCACTTTGGGTCATAAGTATTTATCTTTCGGTAAAATGTACGTCATTCAATACGGGTAGTCCTTGTTAAGTTTGAAGCCATTAAAAATTATGTGCATTGCTAGATCAATAAATGAACGATTTTTTATGGAATAAAACTTTCTTTCTTTTTTTTTTTTGTTTTTTTTTTGTTTCGAAAACCGGAAGAAAGAAGAAAGAAAAAAGAAAGCCGTTACATAGTTTTAAGTGGGTGCCGTTGTAATTTGTCGAAAGGCGAATGTGAGCCTAAGTAATTAATTATTCATCCGTATACATACGCGGCGTATACACGTCGTACGATTGGGCACCGTGCCGATCTCTTTCCGCTTTCGGCACTTGATCAATTGCAAAAGGGTGAAAACAGTCTAATGCTCCGTAATACTTTTTCTATTTTGCATTTTGAAATCGACGACCAAACAAATATATCGCGCTACGCACCTGCGGACTTTTAAGAAATCTTCCACGCGAATTGAATTTGCGTCGAAAAAGTCTAATCGAAAAATTACTCAAATGGCAATCGGCGCGTTGCAGATCAGTCTGCTGCTGATAGCGGCGTTGGCATACGCCGAGGAGGCGAAACCCGCAGCCGCGGAGACAAAACCCGAGCCGAAAAAGGACAAGCGTGGTCTTCTTCTGGGTGACTTCGGTCATGACTTTGGCTACTACGGATACGGCCACTATGACGCTCACCCTCACCATGTACCCGCTGTACATCACGTACCTGTTCCAGTTCACCACACCGTCGTCAAGACTGTCGGCGTTCCAGTCCACGTGCCGAAACCATACCCCGTTCACGTGCCCGTAGACCGCCCTTACCCAGTTAAGGTATGGCTTTCTAGAAAAGCTTAAATGATAGCTCTAATCAGTCAGCTATGCCAATTAATGTTGAAATGGTATTTCGACGTTTCTTGGTTACCAATAATAATAGAGTGATGAAGTCAGACACGTTCGAAAAAACAAGGAAAATCATTCAATCGTTTGTTTATCAAAATGTTCTTTGATCATTGGGCATGCATATTTGATGTGATTCTTTAGATGCATCGTGGAAATGAGAGCTGAAAGCTAAAGATGCCGACGATCGGAGGTGTAATTGAAAAGTAACTAGCTTATTTGCGATCTCCGTTAATTAGCTATCGGAGCTGTGACGAAATCACACAGATGCGAATAAATCACTCGGCGCAAAGATCGAAGCTCGCTTGTGAAAACTGTAAAGCCTCAGAGACTGCACGCAGAGAGAGAGAGAGAGAGAGAGAGAGAGAGAGAGAGAGAAAAATCATTCGGCGTTTAAAGTAAACACCGGTATTTTGTAAACACGACTGGTGTAAGTCTCTCCGTGCACGTTACACAATCTGATGTATCAATCACTCGGTTAACCATTAATCAAGCGAATTTCCCAGGGCTTTTACGGTTCACGAAGGTGCGGTATGTACACGTGGGCTAAAACAAGAAGGAAAATGGGTACGAGGATGCACGATCGCCGTAAAATCTAATCCCTCGAAATTTTTCAGAATCTCGTGAATTAATGGGATGGGCCGCGCGATCACGACGCTTCATTATCATTCCGGCTGCACAGATTTTGTATTTTAAGCCCTCGCGCGGCTTACTCGGGCTGAGCGCCCGCGATTCCCAGTGCATTTGCATAAATACTGCAGCTGTTACGCGAAGAGTAAATTCGTTCATCGGACGTGCATGCAGTTGCCAGAAAAACGCGGCTACGGAAAAAATAGAATACTCGGATTACCTACAAATGTTTCTTAGAGAGAGAACAACGAGTACTTGAATACTGAAAAGATTCACAGTAGGAGCGTTTCTGCAATGTAACGCATCGTTGCTTGTCGCAAGCGAAAGAAAAAAACGCAACCGCGCGACAACGTATACGTGGTGCAAGAATTAGCTGGATGAATTTGCCCAATCCAATAGGTTGCGAAGGGGAGGGGCGGCAGGGCCTTTATTAGCCGCCTCTGGCTATTATTCATTTGTGTGCGCTTTATTCATCGCGTATAGGTGCCAGTGGAGGTGCCGAAGCCGTACCCAGTGGCCGTACCAGTGCCGCAGCCGTACCCCGTTGTACACACGAAGCATGTGCACGTACCGGTCGACAGGCCTTACCCGGTGCATGTGCCCGTTAAGGTGCCCGTTCACGTGCCAGCTCCTTACCCCGTCAAGGTGAGTGACGACGATTGTTCCGTCCGCGAGCGAAGAGCAAAAACGCCCGGCGCACACGCGCACGCACAATGGCCCCGCTTTCGTCGCGGGGGGAATTTCGGGAGGGGATTTCTTTTGTGACGCGCGCTAGTCCGAGATTTCCGCTCTTTTTCGTTCCACTTTCGCGCCGATCGCGAACTCGCCCGATTGTACGAACGCCAAGCGGATCAGTCCGATGGCTCATCGAAAAATGTTTGCTGTGAAGGTGCCAGTGGCCCACCCGGTGCCGGTAGCGGTGCCCCACCCGGTGGTCGTCAAGGAGAAGATCCCGGTCTACATCAAGGAACACCATCACGACCATTACGGACACGGCCACTTCGATCATTACGGCCACGGCTTCCACGGCTTCCCGTAAGCTTCCATCCGCCTCTAACTCTTTCTTTCCTCTTCTTCATCTGTCCCCCTCGAGCGGCTGACGAGCTGAGTCGCACGCGCCGGCCTGATGGATGGACCATTGGCTCGCAGCGCGTCGAACGAACGACCGACCAGCGGCAACACGAGGATAAAACGTAATGCACCACGCGATTATGTGGCCGCGATGTATTATAGCCGAGGCACATGCCATTTTGATTCCCTTATTTTGTAATTATAGCGCCATAACATATTACAACAATAAAACATTTGTAAAGTTTTTTTTATTTAAATATCTTTGGTTTTTTCTTTACATCGACCGCTTGCCGTCCTCCTCAGCGTTTCCAAATAGAAAAAAAAAATATATCTGGCAAATGATTTGTTCCGAGGGTAGGATTAACGTGCTTATAATTAATCTTGCAATACAGTCAATAATTGCTTTGGCAAGTGTTCGCGCGCCCAGCGTCGGGTGACGATGTAATTAAGCAGAAATTGGCTCGGAAACTCCAAGTTTTCAGTTTCAACTAAATAATACATGCAACGAGTTTTAGCCATTAAGCTTATCCTGTCCCGCGGTGTTGCCCCGATAAATGGCGCAACTGGATCGCAGCTGCTACGTTCTTTTATTGCTCATTAACGAAAGATGCAATAAAGCGCGCATGAGAAAAAACAATTGCATTTATTTACGCGCTTTCTCAATTTCGACCCATTGTCCGCGCAAGAAGAACTCAAATTATTTATCAATTTTGCATTCGAGCGGAGAGTCGTTAGCGCGAGGGATCCGCACATCCTACCTACATAATTAAATTGAGCCTGCAAGCGCAGTAGAAATTCATTAGCGAAAGTTGTACGAGCGAAATTGAATTAGTCGATTATCTGAGATCTACGGCGAATCTTAAATAATAGAATTGAGCCGAGTGGGCAATACGGCATCGGACGAAGAAAACAGCTGCAGCAAAGAATCGCGCACCTGTGCGAAGCACAGAGTCGCGGTGTAACTCGGCGAAGAGCTAACTGATTTAGCGCGGCAAGCGGCGGTAGTAGGTCAAACAATCGAGGCGTCGATCTTCCCAAGAGTCACTTGCGCGCGCGGTGCATTCCAGAGCCCAGGACGATCGATATCGAAATAAGAAGAGGAGGAGGAGGAGAGAAGGAGCGTCGGGCGCGCGCAACAGCCGCGGCGCGATTTCGCAAGCGCGACTTCTCTCCGCGCGCACAAAGGCAATAATTAAGTGGAAACGAGCGAGGGTGTTTCGACACTTCCTCGGCGCCAAAGCGACAAGGGCACTCGTTTATTTCGCGTGGGGAAACGAATTGCCCTGCGCGGCGCACGCGACCGGCCGCGCGCGGATGAAAGGGAGCTCGCTGCCGCTGCCGAGTTCCATGAGAAAACTCACTGCGTAAAGCAAGAGCAGCGTAAGTTGTTGCGGCCGTGCTGTACGTGTTCGCGGCTCGAGAATCAGCGGAGAATTGAGAAAATCTTCAGGGAGCGAGAGAGAAAGAGACGGCTCACCTTGATTTACTTTTCTTCGGCTACGAAATTCCGAGGCGGCTCTCCTGCGGAATCTCGCGAACACGGCCGTTGCTGCTACAATACGCCGCTTTAATTAGACAAATTTTCGGCTCGAGGCAAATTTATTCATTTTAATTAAAAATAACGCGCTCGTTGGGTCTAATAACACTTTTTTTCTCGCCTGCAATTACCTCGTTCTCGAGTCATTCTCGCGAAAACAAGACATTTTTGTACAGCATTATCATCAGAGAATAATTGCGATTGTCAGAGCTTTTCAATCTGGGAGCCTTGTGAAATATTCGGGATGCTAAATCCAAATATACGAGAGAAATGCATTGGCACAGGCAGCGGTGGCGATAGCGAGATGTATTATATTTCGCGCTGGAGCTTTCAGCGAATCCGTATACACCCGGCAGCAGCAGCAGCAGCAGCAGCAGCAGCAAGCACTTGAGCATTGTAATTATATTTAGTCAGTCCATTGTGGCACGCGTTCTCGGTGGCGGGAGGGGGCTTTGAATTTCATATTGAAATGGCTGTGATAGTCGTTACGGTCGAATGGAGTCGAGTCGAGAGAGATCGGATGGTCGTCGAGCGGCGAGTGCAAAAAGGGTTCCCGCGCCTGGCGCGCTAACGAGGGAATCCAATCACTTATTCATGCAGCCCCCAAAATGAATGAACTTGAGTCAAATCAATTTCGTAGTCTGCTGCATCTTTTATCTCTTCTAATCGTTAAAACGCCACACGTCAAATACGGCGAACGCATTTCAATTCCGCGTATATTTATATATTTAGCCCGACGACGCAACTCCAACTCGCGCAAGCGTATCATTAACGGAGCGCGACATTTCGTTACGAATGCTCGCTTTCTTCAGGCGCGAGAGAGGCTCTATAAAACTCGCTGACGAAACCCCATTGCCGATCGATCTGCACGCGAACACGCATAAATATATCATTTTTGCCGCGCGCCAACGGATATTAAAATGCCGCAAAGATCGCGCATTCAAAGGTCGCATTACTCGACTGCTTTTGATTGAGAAACCCTCTCTCTTGCGCATGCCGTAGATGTCCCTTGCGCGAACAATTAGTGTATATAGCGCGGCGAACACTTGCGCAATTGCACTTTGCATGCCTCGAGAGCGGGAGTGTCGAAATACTACGCCTTTATTTTTATTCGATTACACCGTTATTATGTGTCTCTGATCGACCGCCGATCAGTTGATTTATTGTTTTTGCAGATGGTTTTCGTTATGGACCGTATATTATAGTACGTAATTGTCCGACGTTGCGTTACGCGTGGAAAATAGTTTTCTTTTCATTCGTCGATCCACATATTATAGTGTAGCATAACAAACGTCGAATCAGCATAACAATGACGAACGCTGCCGCGAGGGAAATCCATATCAGTCTTGTATTATCATTACAATGGCTGCATCTCTCTCTCTCTCTCTCTCTCTCTCTCTCTTTCCGCAGAAATTCAGCAAATTCGAACATTGCACGAGAAAGTTCCCGCGTCATTGTAATACATCAAAAGACTACTCGGCTTAATAGCTCGCGATCGATAACACCAAATAAGGCTCACTGAAGAATCAGCAGCGAATGCGATTTATGTAAAACTCATCGCGGTCCCGGCGGTCTGACACATCTCACAGTAGAGGTCCAGTTTCCCTTTTCGACATACGTTACACCAGACCGAGCGCTGGAGAAATGCTCGATCCTGCCGGTATAATTTCACCTTTCGGCGATTATTATGTATATATATGTATATATTTATACGCGAGTCAGTCGCGGCAGCGTTACATTGTACGTGGCGTACGAACCCTGAAATTTAATTATTCGTCGCGTAAAAACAACAGATGACTCGCATGTTTGTAATTGACTGTAATGCCATGTATGAATAAGGTATGACTTTACGAATGTCTTTTGACGATGATGATACTCGGAGGAAAAATTGTTGTTTGCATTACACGCTGCATAATCTTTTATGGAGAGTTCGCGTGGATAATAAATTTTCACTGACATTCGCGCACATAAAAGCAAATGGTGTGCATTTATAAATCAAATGAGATTTTAATAATTCGTGTAAACTTGCTTTTATTGTGTAAATTGATAGCCGTGAGATTTGATTGTATGCTAATGAGCGATAAGCTTAATGCAGCAAACTATGGACGTATGATTCCTTGTTGCACTAGTTCCCATCCGGTTAAGAAATTAGGGATGGTATGCTTCAATTCACAATCCAACTGCACGCGAATGTACGTAACCGATACATGCTTCGGAAAGAAGTTGAACGGCGATTGTTTCTGTGCAAGCGCGTTATCGATATGAGATAGATCTGAAACAACGTTTGCGTCAGTCAGAGAGAGAGAGAGAGAACGTCTGGTCCGGCATCCGACGGTCGACATCTTCTTCTCGCCGGAGAAGGAACTGGCTCGAAAAAATGCGACGGTGTGAGCGCTCCGCTCGCGCGACTGATGCATCGCGACTCGAGAGACGCCGCACACTTGCGCGCGTATAACGCGATGAAATCCTCGCTCTTTCTTTTTTTTTTTCTTCTTCTCGATCGTCCTTCGTAGAAAACTAGACGTCCAACGTGCGCAAGAACTCGACCGTGAACCTGCCCGAATTTCTACCTCGCTGCACGCCCAACTGCACGCACGGCCGTCCGATGTATTTTTAGATATATGGCCGATCTCCCGGATTTTAATGTCTCGTAAAGCAGGCAATATCTTTGGAGTGACTTGGGTGCTGCGACTTTCGCCGGAATGCATGTTTCCTCCATGCTGCCGCGTCCTTCGGGTAACAAGGGCGTAAATAATCTATTCCTCGCTGTCTTTTTTCTCTTATTGATTAACAACTCTCGATCTTACAGGAATAACATTCAACCCTCTTTGCTTATATACGCGCTGCTTCGTTTTATTTAATTACCTTCAGTTCATAAAATTTAACGATCAAACTCGTCGTTGGCCACATTGCGAAAAAAAAATTTTAAACACGCGGTCATTCTGCCAAGTAACTGACGTTTATGCTATTTACTTCTACAATACGAGTAGATCCGTAACGTGCAATTATTTAGCACATGCGTAGACAATAAAGAAATGAGCATTAATCTCGCCCAATCAAGTTTATTTGTTTTTAGAGTTATCGCGGAAGTAATTTATACACGGTGATTTTTTCATGAAACGAAGTGCGATTTTTTTTACCAAAAGGTACAGCAGCAGTGACGGGTGTGCTAAGTGACACTACAATTAAGTGTTACAGATAACCAGCCTGATAGTTTCCGTGAGCTTGCAAGATTTATATACATATATATATATATATTCGTAGCTGACTTTTAACGTGCATTTTTCAGAGCTTCTATCTCAGTCGAACTCATGCATAATACATTTCACAGATAAAAAGCTCAGGCATAAGCATAATTGAGCTGTACGAATGTGGAAATGAGTGCGTAGCGGTTCCTCGTAGCCCTAGATATATAAATATACCGGGCCTCTGAACGAAAACTGCTGCATTAGTTGCGCGCGACGGCCCCCGAACGCTAAAAGCAGATAACGCCTGCGAAGCTGCTTGCCGAAAAAAGGGAGACAGACGCTAAAAGCCTTTTTCTCGAGATTTCGATCAACGATCGGCATTTAACTGGTCGTTCGCTCTCCCGCTCCTAATCCTCTAATGAAGGATTTACAATTTAAATGAAGAGAGACAAAGAGAGAATAAAAAGTGGATGCGCGTACTCCATGGTGGCTCTTGTTACTCGACGCACCGGAGAGGAGCGTTTACCGAAAGAAATGTCGAGAGATTTAAATCTTTAGTTGCAGCTTGCTCTCAAAGAAATGTCTCCGAAAGTTGAAAAGCCGCCTTTTTGCTGATCGATCCGAAAGGAAGCGATAAAATTCAGTTGTATCGCTGTAAACAGTATCAATGACCGATGGCGAGATAAAAAGGAAAGCAACGAATGCGCTCGACATACATCACCCGGTGATTCGAGTTTCGAACAAGTATTTTTATTATCAACCTTACGTCATTTGCAGTCAAGCGTTGAACGAAAGCTTTCACTAGGTTGCAATTGGAATACTAGGCACGTTCCCTTTCTTTTACTTGGAAGAAGTTTGAAAAGGGATTCGTTCGAGCAATGAGAATATTTTATTAGTGATCTATCATTGCGTATTTGTATCGCACGCAAGTAAGAATGCTCGATGAAAAGAAAATTATTTTTCGAAAATTGTTACTTTGGAGTATTTCAGGTCTGCTTCTAAGCGTATTATTGGCAAAGAAGTACTAAAAAAATCTTGAATTTACCGTGCAGGAATGACGTTGGCATTGGCTACATTTAAAAATGAGTCGCAGTAAAGTCCACCACAAGATTATCTCTGCTCTGTCTCGAAAAAAATGTCAAATCAAGCAATTACAAGGTCCGCTTCCTAAGCGAAGTAAACCACAATTCTACGAGAAATTGCCAAGGTAACATCTCTAAAATGGCAGGAAACTCGGTTCTACCAGCAATGAAGAGTCATCGGAAGACGAATCGAGCGGCACGGCGCCGCGCGGCGAGAAATTGAGTGGCACGTAGGAACGGCGATAATTGGGTCCCAAAATAATGACGGAGCGAAGCCGTGCCACTACAACGGCCATTAGCGCGCCTCGAGCGGATTCATCGCGTCCAGAGCCCAAAAACGTCCCTCGGGGACAGGTGCTCAATTACCAACGCTAACTCGCGGGTTTTTCTACGAAAACCGGCAGAGCAGAGACCCGCTCGTCATCGTCGTTGTCCGTCCCCTCGCAAAGCCACGAGCACGGCCAAAGGCTCCCGAAGCTATTCTTCTCCTTTTGATTGCCCGTCGTGGCTGACACCCCCGAGCTTTTACGTTTCTTTCGGACGATTCGCGGAGAACGCGAGCGATATCCATTGGTTAGCTTTGGCTTTCGACGTTTTGCACTGCCCACTTTTTCCGGCAATACGCGATTCAACGCTGCTGTCACGTGAAAGCCTTCTCGCCGCAGCTTTACTCGTTGATTCTTCTCGTATAGAAAATTTAATTGCGATGAAACGGCGAGATTCATTCCGTTCCAAATTTAATTGAAAAACACATTCGTTTCGGCGTCTCTAAGACGACCCTTCCGAAGCAAAAGCAACTCGGTGCAACGCGTTGTTGCAGCCTCCTCGCCGCCTCCTCGAAATCGTTGTACGCGCTCTTTGGACGAGAGTGTCACGCGAGTGGGCTGGACGAGGCGCGCGCTATTTGCTGCGTCGATACTCTCGAAGGTACGATACGTCGGCAAGGGCGACGCCCGCGGGGCCCCAGACCTTTGTCCCGAGCGACTCTCCGAAGGACCGTGCGGTCAGCAATGACGCGCCGCCTCCAGCGCCGATGGATATGTTTGGAGCGTTTTTCAGAACAGATATCCTGCCATTATTATTTGTAATCTTCCTCGAGGGACGGATACGTCACGGTTACGTTCGCTCATTTTTTCGAGCGCGCCTCGGATTAGCCGGAAAACACGTCGAGGACGACCCTCGACGGGCGTCGGAAAAGTATGACGCTCGTACGCGCGTGCGTTGGACCGGGCGGCCTCTCCTCATTCTTCGCGCCGTTCATTGATAAACGCTGCATTGGCTTTTCGAAAGGGGAAGAGAAGAAAAAAAAAGTGTAGGTTGCACATCGTAAATCAAGCTTCCGGCACGCCGAAAGAGAAGGAGTACACAAACAGCTTCATTGAAAGACGGAGGATGGCCTTTGAACGCGCTGTAAACACGTGATATTGTGCCCAAAATTGAATGTCCTCCCGCGGATGATGTGTGTTCGGTGCCGAGAAAAGGTAGGAAAGAAAAGTCGCCTTGGAATAATCGATACGTCTTTTGCTTAATTGCGACCGATGTTCGCCTCGCTGGATCCGAAACTTGATCCGTGCGTATCGAACTCGCTAATTGAGCGGCGGCGGCGACGGCGGCGGCAGCCAGCGCAGTAAACAGCCCGTTACACTTACGATCCGCGTGTCGCGCGGCCAAATTTCGGCCCACATGCAAATTGCGTCATTTCGTTTTCGTTGGCACGCGGACGCGACGAAATCGCGCTCCGCTGCCCTCCTCTTTATGTTACGCGCTCGCACGCTGCAATGATCGTTACGGGCAACGCGCCGAGGCAGCACATTATACGTACACTGCGCACCGGGGCACTTTTTGAAACTCGAATTTCGCACTCGCGCACGTAACGCGATTATATAGCGAAACCCGAGTACGCCGATATTAATCTCAATTTGGGGAGTGTGTTGTTTGGTAGGTTACTCGGGCGGCGATCGGCTCCGATGCATTTTTATGGGAATCGCGATGCTGTAACGACAAAACTCGACTGACATATCTTAATATTGAGCAGAACCTTTTTTTTTTCGTCGTCGTTAAAAATAATTATTTTACGTAATCTTTAATCATGAAGTAACGCAATCACCTTTACTGTTTTACAATGCTCATTGGTAAACAGTGACATACTTTTTGCTTGTGTTCAAATTTCTTTGAACTTGCTTAACGGAAAGGAATCGGAAATAGTATTCATTTTTGCGTTATTGTTAAGTAACGTTATAAACTTTCGACCATTGTAATATTTTACAGTAAGCGATTTACGACGTGTTTTGCATTCTAATTAATGTTTTTTTTTATTTTTCAAACGATTATTTGTGCTTGACTTTGTGGATCACATTCGGCCATACGACTACTATTGAAATTGAGTTCATTTTTGCCGCAATTATTGCCTTGACGCCGATGCGTTAATGAGATTACTAACCTGCGATACTTGTGTGTAACATTAATCGGATGATCCATACGAAGATGATAGAAATTATTGAATTACAATGAAAAATTGATTGGCAGTACACAATTTACATAGTGAGAATCGAGGTGTCGAATAAGAATCCGTTACCAGTTCTGCATCGCAATGACGATGTTTCACGCAAAAAGCACTTCGAAGACAAGTGAACCGAGAGCTCAACGCACAGTTGTGGACCCCAAACAATCGAACATCAATCCCTTCGCGACCGTGTCACAATCCTCGAAATCCTATGCCCCATGTCTGCTCTCATAAGAGTGCGCGTAACTTTTGTGTCTTGTTTTCTTGACGAAAGAATCGCGAGCGGGTCTCCCTCCAGCGCCGCAGCGATAGGAGGCTTCGTTGCGCAAGCAATTTTTCGGGACGGGCGAGCGCGATTTCTTCTCTTCTCTCTTACCTGTTACACGAATGTATATCCTCCACCACCACCGTGTGTGTGCAGCGTCCCGAACCCCACGTACTGGCATCTTCGCAAATATAAAAGCTTGACTGGCCAACGGCCATGTGCAGTTCACATCCTCTGCTCGATCAACCAGAAGCACTTCGGCCGGCAATACAGTTTTGTTTTTTTTGTGTGGATCTATCGAGTCAACATGCAAGCTAAGGTACATTGTTTCATTTGCTACTACTAGTGATAATCCTAACTTTTGAATTGATTAAAAAGTCTAATTTTTCCGAAAATTATTAAAAAAAATCTCTTGTACTTCTTATGTATTGATTTTTTCTCTCTGTATTGGTTTTTTAAGTAAGCGTCATTCAATTTTTAAAAATATATCGGGCAAAAAATATCTAATAATTGCATTCAAATGGTTTAAAGTTATTAAAGATGTTCTTTTTATTTTAAGCCTTTAAACGATAATTTTCAATCAGAATTTTCACCATTAAAAAAATTAGTTGTTTTGAACACTTAAAAATATTTTCTATTGCTCTAGAAATAATTTATTACGATATATTTATCGAAATAATGTTTAAAAATATATAATTAATAAAACTGAGTTAGCCCTGAAATATACAGTTTTTCATCGTAGAACACTTCCTCTTTAAAATACAAACTGATTTTTCTAAATATCCAATAACACAATTACTCGCGCGTTTATTACAAAACAAACATGCCAGTTACGCAACTAGCATTGCACCGACAATTGCCCGCGAAAATAAAAGTTAATCCCGCTTGCGAATCGATCTTGAAGCACTGGCGATCCACTTAACTTAAAGGGCCTTCCAATCTCACTTTCATCTTTCTCTCTTCCTCTGGCAGGCACTGATCCTGCTGTCGTTGGCGACACTCGCATTGGCAGCTCCGAGTGACAAAAACGAAGACCCGAAACCCAAGAGCAAACGAAGTTTCGCGGAAAGTAGCTACGGCTACGGACACGGCGGTGCCAGCGCTACTTTCGGCTCCGCAGGAATCAGTCACGGAGGTTTGCACGCGGTGTTCGGGACGCCAGGACACGCTGCCTTCTCGGCGCCTGCAATAGGACACGCCACGTTCGCTGTCCCGCCTGTAAATCTGGTTGCACCTCCTGCAGTCATTAACCACGGAGTTCATACCAATACTATCGTCACTAAGCACGTGCCTGTTGCCGTGCCACAACCCATTGCCGTGCCCGTCGAAAAACACATCCCTTACCCTGTCATTCAGAAGGTACGAGGCAACGAAGGTTCTTTATTTCGCTCGAGCTTTTCCAACGCAGAGCTACGTAGTTATCTGGGCGCGACTTGATTCGATGCGATTCACATTGATGGATTACGCGCGAAGAATGATCGATCGAAGAAAGTGCCGGCGAATTGCTTACTTTTCGTATCTTTTGAAAGTTTCGGTACACGCAACGAGGTCTTGTTTGGCCGCCTTCGGTTACAAATTGATGCGTGACGGTTTCCCTAAAATACGAGAACTCTCAACGCGACATTATACGAAACCATTTTTTTTTTGCGCGAAACAATTTCTTTCATTGAATAGTCCGGCAAGTTTGGCTCAAGGTCTTCGCGTAACAGTACGAAAACTGGATTATCCAATGAATTTACGCATTACTTCACGGAAATCTCACTTATTCCACAGGTCGCCGTTCCAATAAATCGTCCATACCCAGTCGCTGTGCCCAAGCCCTACCCAGTCGAAGTTACCCGCACTGTACATGTTCCAGTCGACCGTCCAGTGCCAGTACCAGTCCATGTGCCAGTAGTCAAGCATGTTCCTTCTCCATACCCAGTCAAAGTTCCGGTGCCTATTCACGTGCCAGTAGTTAAGCATGTGCCATACGCGGTTCACTCGAAACCCATCCTTATAGAAAAATTCAGCAGCAGTGGCTGGAACGCTTGGTAAACAGTGATATATTTGGCGATTATTCAATCGATCGCATATCGACCAGAATTTATCGTCACTGGAATATAGTTACGTATAGATGAGGATTTTCAAATGGATACTTCCATGAGCATGAGTATTATTTGTTGAGTATGTTGTGCCTACTACAGTCGGCATTTTAGTCTACCTACTGTTTTATAAATATTTTACTTAGACTGCAAGTCATAAGTCTTTGACGTTTCTATGGATATTGTGAGACAATTTCAAATACAATAAATTGATTTTTTTAAGATAATCGTTTGACTATATAATCTCTTCTTACCGCAATATTAAAACCTCAATTATAGAAATCATTATGGAACTCTAGCTATAAGAGAGTCTTTCAAGGACTCGAACAGTCGATATGAACAAGTGATAAGGTCAATAATTTAAAATCGTTTTTCGGATATCTGCTAGACGTTGAAATGCAACAGTCGTATCTATAAGCAAGCATGCGGTCCAGCAAGAAAATCTCACTGATAGAACATTTGTTCGTACACTTATAAACAAATGGATAAAAACAAATCAACAACAAAAGAAATATGTAATTGTGCCCTTGCGGTTCGAACCTCACAGCAGCAGGATTTTGCAAGCGGTCAACAACGAGCTCTTATCTCACCTGTAACAAACATAGCGTGGGAGTAAATGCCACTCGATATATGGTAGTAGAATGCTAGTGCCCAACGGCGATTGTACTCGTGTAGTAACATACTTGCGAGACACTATTCTCTTCCAAGTATCTCACCTCGGCTCGTTCACCGTCTCGGGCCTTACCTGAATTAACGCTATATATTTTATCGCGCTTGAACAATCGCGAGTCACGCGTGAGCTCCTCTTTTCAGAAAACGCTCAATTTTCATTTCGTATTACGAGTGTCTCGTGCACGCTGCGGCAAATTGTCAAGTCTATGCATAGCTGCATAATAGTTTAGTGAATTCAAAATGGGCCAAATCTATAAAAGAGTGAACACGTGTTCATCTCTATAAAAATTAGGACAGCTTTTTGCGGTACATTTAATCTGAATTATTATTTGCGAGGAGAGATCTGTTGTAAAAAGCAATTTTAGGTCAAATTAAATACGGTGAAAAGAGTTATAGAAATGTGAAAAAATAATTCAGCAAAATGGCTTTTCAGAAGATACTAGGTCAAGCTGTATGATATATGCGTAAATATATGAAAGTAAATACAAATGATAAAAATATGTATAACTGATGCACATAATATAAACTTAATTTTCATATTAAATGTACTTTGATTCATTTACGTATATTAAACTAATTAAAATAAAAATTTTTTCACGTTCGATTAACATGTCCAGAAACAAAATCTTACAGATTTGTTTATGTTTAATAGGCTCATACATTAAATCATAGAAATAAGAAATAATTTCAACAATAACATAGACAAGAATTATTTTAGTAATTACAGCCATTTTTGTAAGATGTTTCGAGACATCATCACTGATTTTACAAGATGCCAATATTATAAAGCCATTAAAACTCATTCTGAGTATAATGGCAATATTTAAAGCAACGTTCGTATCAACTAAATGTATGTACAAAATTAAAAAATTTTCAACTATTTACTTTTTATTTAACAAAATATATTTGAACTAGCCTCATCTCTTCTTTGAACTTTTAACTTAGCTCTAAAACACTGGTCGTAATTTCAACTTTGCTTTGTACTACCCGTGTGTCGTGCTATTAAACTAAATTCACTGTTCAGGTGAAGCAAAATCTGGTTGGGATGGTCGAAAGTCGTTAAAATAATGCGAACTGGCTGCTGCATCTTGAGTCTCAGCTTTGTTTCCTTCGTCTTGCGTATTTTCAGTTCCGTCGTGTGAAGTGTCAAAATCAGACTCTCTTGCATAGAGGCTCGCGTGCACATCAACCTAAAATACAAATTTTTAAATATCATCTTAAAATTGTTTATAGGCTGAGGTTGAAAACAGATGAACCTTAAAATTTTAAATAACAAATTAAGCTCCTTACCTACATTTACGTTCATATTAATATATTATGTAATTTTTTTTAAATAAACACATGTAAATCCATTTATTACACACTAAATTTGTCAAAGAAAGATTAATAAAAGCAGAAAAGATGAAAACCTTCTACTTTTCAAAAGGAAAACATACCAACTAAATAATGTAATAATAAAATCTACTGAGGTCTCCGGTGTAATATTGGCACTTAAATAAACGCGAAAATTTTAGTTATAGAAATTATAACTTGAACGTCAAATTAGAAGTTACTTTTATAACGTATATGTATTCGGTATTTTGTCTCGAATTTTACACTATTTTGCGTAATATAGGCATATTATTTGATTAGTTCTATAACTCTGTTTTAAATACATAGTGCAGCACAGTAGCAGCATTGCATTAAATTGAAAGGTAAATTAAAGAACAGTCCGTTTTAATTCATAACAAATAATGTAATACTTTTGTGGGAAAAGAGATGAAAAAAGTGGTCAGTTGTTAAGGAGTAAGTAATAAGAACAAGAGAAATTTGTTATGTAATATTGAAAAAATATAGATTAGAAAATGAAAAGTATTATATTGTAAAAAATATTCAATTCTTCGTACTTGTGACGGTGGGAACGAACCCAACGACAAAAAATGGTCCCACAGATGTTGATGCTGCAATTACAGATTAAACAATTGTTTCAATAAAACTTGCTTGGTAGAGCTTGCAGGAGCAGTTCATTCGCACTTGTAAAATTTCATCAGAAAAAAAAAAAATAGTCTAGGAAGTAGGAAACAAGCACCGGTCGGAGAACTCGCATATCCCATATATATTAAAGCTGTTTATACGTAAGCGCTGGTGGCGATCAAGAGCGCAACTTACCGAGTGGGCCTCGTGCTCGTGATGGTGTACGGGATAAGGCAGAGGTTTAGGCACTGGAATGTAGACAGGTCGATTGATGGCGATCGGCTGAGGAACTGGTACCGGATGTGGCAGGGGCACTGGCTTCGACACGAACACCGGCACCTGCTGGGGTAGCTCCACAGGGACCGGCTTCTCCACTGGTACCGGCACGTGATGCGGAACTTTGACTATCTGCGGCACTGGCACTGCCACCGGATGGTGCACTGGCACTGGCACGGGTATGTGGTGCGGTATCTACGTACGAAACGACAAAACCACCTCAGCTATAGTTGAGAAATAGAACTATACACTTGTCGTCGGATGCGTGTCAGTGATCCGCTTTGCTCGCGGCATCTCGTGTTTTTGCTCCTCGAATCGCGCTGTCATTCGAGAAATTTTATTTACAATTGCTGCTCGCGCGCTATGATATTCAGCTGTTTGCAACTGAATAATTATATCGGGTAGTTACGATCAAGTCTTTAACGAGAATAGAAAGCGACTGTTTAATCTCGAACTCGCAAGAAAAAACAAATTAAAAATAGACAACAGATAATTAGTTTTGAATGCATCAACAATGATAATCGCCACTGACCTTGACAGGGTATGGCACGGGAACCTTGACCGCAACAGTCCTTACGATTTTGATAATCTTCGTAGGTAGTTCGTTGAGTCCCACCGACTCTGAAATCAACTTGGGTCGTATAGGGTGGAGTGGCGCGTCGAACGAGAAGTCGTGCGATGCCTCAGACGCCATCACGGCCAAGGTCGTCGCCAGCACCAGCTGCAAGATCCATTTCAATTATCTATACCGGTTACACATCACGACCACGCCACGAGTTTTTTCTCGTAGCGCGCCACACGAGGAATCTCCGCTTCAATCGCTTAATTAATCAGTGGAATTCGTTGGCATTGCTAAAGTGAATTTACTGGTGAGGCAAAGAAAATCGCGGTACAAATACGAAAAAGTAATTTGTGATGATTCATACAATCTACGGACCAAGTTTCGTTACTCGACGCTCTAATCACGGTGATTTTACAAACGATTAATTCGCTTGATATTGCATTAACAACGTTCATTACAACGACATTGCTAAGTACAATCAAAACTTTTTGTCCTCAAATAATGATCTTCGCGCAAAAAGTAGTCCTCGCAAATAACTACTTCATTTTCTATTTTCCAATAGTTAATTTTCACGAGAAAGTAGTTTCTGAGCTTAACTTTCTTCGTAGCTAGTAATTAACGCAGCCACGGGCAAAATGCACACTTTTGCTTACTACATCAATCAAAATAACAACAAAATACATTTCACCTACGCCTAGATACAGTAAAGTGATACTCATCAATGCGTGTGCACTACAAGATTTTTCGTTGAAAATCAGCAAATAACACTTTCACATCAAAAGCATACTGCACAAAGAAAAGAGCGATCTTTTTCTCCTTTTCATTTTTGCCGCCAGTTTGACGTGCCGTGCAGCGCGCATACAAAGGGCCTTACATTTCGAAGCATCGTGGAAGATGATGACACGCAAGCGACAGAGAAGGGCAGTGTAAAAAAAGTCAGTGGTGGTCCCTTGAATTCCAATAGCCACTGAATGGGAAACAAACTGGAAATAGCAGCTTGGATGGCGCAGCTTATATACGAGGACCTTCACTCGACGGTTGGAAAAAGAAAGCACCCGCCTCCCGCCGCTGCTGCGACGCTTCACTTCCGACTTTGTGTAAGATCGCTGATCTCAAGTTCGATACGTTTTTTTTCCTCCCGCGCCGGTTCGTTCAACCAACTCATATTCCTTTCTTTGTTGCAAGGATACTGCGGAATACATATTATCGTCAAGAACACTTTTTGAAATTTCAAGTTAAGGCTGGGAACATCTAACTTGCCGAATCTTGATTTTATGATAATTCAGCGAATCCGCTGTAAAGAATTTTCGTGACAATCGGATACCATTACTTTCCGATAAAGCCCTCAGCGAGTGCTGTAATGTCTAACAAGCAAACATTCAACGAGCTTATTTGTAAAAAGTGAAGTAGATACGCTTTCGATATCGATGATTGATCGACCAGTCGGTCGACCCTGCTACATCATCGTGCGAAACAATGCGCTCATTTCTATGAACCAATGAACGTACAAGTGCACCGCCAGTCGGGAGAATAAACCGTACAAGAAGCATTCAAAAATGAACATATAGCTGATTGTTGCAGCTTCCGCATGGCTATTGTTGTAAAAGAACGCTTATATATATAGAAGCGATTTCCGGGTCATTAGAAAAATCCGGCGAAAGTTCGTCCGGCGAGCACCCGAGTTTGACAATCACGAATGCGAGTGAAAGGATTTGAACTTAACGATTTCACATAACACATAATGGAATCGATCGACTGGCTTCCTTTATGACTCTTGTTCAAATTGTACAACTACTATTTACTTGCCGATAATAAGCTTGAGCTATTGTCAATTACACGTACTAGCGTTGCTATAACTAGCTTGAAATTGTCTCGTTTAGTCATTCAACGCTTTATGTAACGACATTTTTCGGGAACAAAAATTAATTAACAAAGCGATACCAACATAAGCAGTACTATTCAGTAGACAGTAAAAAAAACAACAAAAAAAACTAGCGCCGAAAAAATCTTCTCGTTCCAGTGTACTTTTTAACGAAGTCTGTATTTCCAAAAATTTGTTCAAGTAGAAGAAAGATGAAATCACGAACTCAAAGTAATTTTTACTATCTACTAGAGATTCCACAAATGCACGAAGCGTTAACAAAGACAGCTCAGTTTTGTTTGTATGCTGATATTAATTGACATTATTATTTATAAAATATTTCAATATTTGACGAAAAATTTTTCAGCTATTGTCTGTAATGTGTCTTGTAGGTCAGAACTTGGCGAGCGTATGTATTACATTATTTCGAACATAAATTTAGTAATCACAATGACAATTCAAAAGTTGTTATTCGCTTGAAACTTAAATAAATTAAATAAGAGATTGATATAGTCAATTAGTTATGACAAGCTTCCCAATTGCAGTTCATCGGTCACAATTGCATTCTATACTAAAAAACTAGCACAATCTAGCATATAATTTTGATCAATTAAAGTCGTGTTTAACTTTTTGGTGTATAATTAATAAATATCACAGCTTACACGAAAAATTTCCCGTTGTCACACGATCGTTGTCGTTACACGATCATTTTAACATTGATATGTGCATGTTTTTTTGTAGGCTACGTGTAAATCATTCATTAATTCACATTCAGTACATCCTTTTCTTTTTGCTTTCCTTCTTCCTGATGCTCCTTTTCTTTATCCCCTTCTCTTTTACTTGCCATCCTATCTTTTCTCATTTCTCATTGTTCTTCTTCCTCTTTTTATCACATTACATACATACCTCTTCTTTGTCACCACCCTCCTCTAAAAAACATCTTCCTATTTTCGACTATTCTTTCCAGCTGTATTCCTAAATCTTCTCTTCATTCCCTATTCAAATTTGGTGCTCTCAAGATTTCTTCTCTGCTATTTCTATCTTTATAGCTAAGCCATTCGCCCAGTACTATCATTCTTTTTACGTGAATACTTTTTATAACATTATTATAAAACTACACCTGGTCAGTGTGTATGTGTGTGTGTAACATTTGAAATATATTTATTAACATTTGAATGTAAGTATAAAAAATTAATTATTCAGATCTTAATAAATATAACCACATATGTATACAACAAAACTTATATTAAAATAATTCTTTTATAGATCAAATTGAATTTCCAAAAATAACATGTGAATGTTGAAAATAAGTAAGTTAACTTAAATTGTTAAGCGCACAAAAGATTACAAGAATAAATAAAAAATAACGATTAAAAAAATAATTAATTTATCTTTGGCAAATTGTTTATCGTGCAAGATTTTCTTATCTTTGTCTTCGATCATTTTCTCTCGCATGCTTGTGCGTACAACTTAAGGATCCTGTATATTCCAGTTCTTACTTTTAGCTTACAATAAAGAAAAACCTGAAATAAATAAGTATTTATTTTTTGCGTGGATAATGTTCAGTATGAAGATACAAATATAGTAATACCCATAATAGAATCAATAGCCCGCTGCATGCAAGCCTGGTCAGTTTCAAATGCTTCTTACCTTTAATACATTTTCGATGCTTGTTTAGTAAAAGGCATTTTTCAATTCATACAAATTTATATAAACCTTTGAGCCACCTAAAAGTATAGTTTAACGATTTGAATTATTGGTCAAGTAATGCTTGAACTTTATAATAACTTAATTTCATTTTTTATTTTTTTGGCAGATATATCAATTCATGATCCAGTATTTCATTTTCGAGATTTAAAATTTTTGACACTATTATATAATATCTGAAAGTTTCTAGTGCTTTTATTTTTGAAAAAATTTTTCATAGAATAAAAAAATAGCTTACAGAACGTTTACTTCCTTTATTATTTCAATTTATTACGTTTACTTGCTTTTGAATCGTATATGATGATAGTTCTGTTACGTTTTCCGCAAATATTAATTGGAGTTAACGGAGGTGATGGAGTTGAACTGATCAGTGGAGGCGGTATCGGCGCTGTGCATTATGGTGATGGCAACCATTTCATACGAAAGATCGTCAGAGCCTAACTAAACTCAACCAAAAACTACTCTTTTCTAAGCATCTATGTTTTTTGCTAAACGTAAAGTGCCTCGTGTACACATGATTTGCTGGTTTGTCTAGGCTATTTATGCAGTTCTATGCCCCCTACTAGCTGGGCGCACAGACACCACTTTACGTATAAAGAATACGTAAAAAAATTAATTTATTGACACTAGCAAATATTACAAACTACTTTTATAAATAAATATGTCGAGTCACTGCCAAATATATTGTATTAACACTTCGAAATCATGAGAATTTTTCATCATTCAATACTTTTCATGTAAATTTAGGCTCTTAGCAATAACTTGCATTTTTTTGTTATATCGCGGTACAAATCGGGGAAAGTAGATTCTTCTCTCGATTGGCGTTTGCGCAAAGCGAGAGTAGAATCACACGAAACGAGAATCTCTTTCCAGAACGTGTATAATACAGTACACCTGTTGGCTTTCTCATGAATTTAAAAAATGAATGTAGTTTTTATGTGCATAAAAAAATTAACATTCAGCAGCCTCGTTGAATTTAGTTTCGAATGATGTCCAATGAATTTTTTTTTAAATAACAATACAGCTATGACTTAGATTATCTTCAACTATAAATCGATTTACCAAATTCTTATGTAAAAATGTTAATAAATGTATCTACAATTTTCGTTATAACTGTTCTCGTTGTTAACTGTTGATCATTTTTCTTTTATTCTAAATCGAATCAAATATTTGCCCATTAGTTTAATAACTTTGTCACTTTTTACTCAAAAGATTCTATTAAAATGTAATTGGAAAATTAGATAAGACGAAAGAAAATAGCTTAGAAATCAAGCATTGTAGAGCTTTAATATTCGACTCCTATCAACGAATTTATTTTTCAGTCGAAGAATTTGATCTTTGCTATTATTTGAAGATATTACGAAAGCTCTACATGGTTTGATTTACAGGCTATTTTTTGTGATGAGAAAATAATATATTATGTATTTTGACGGATTTTATTGAAATAGATTGTAACTACAAAGAAATCGATTGTCTAGCCAAATGTCCAGCTAATATATTGAACTCTATAGTGGAAACGACTGTTTTATTAATACAGAAACGACTTTCATGTAGTTATCTCAGAATATAATTACTGGACAGCTACATGGAAACAAAGGGTAAAAAATCTAACGTTATTCTTCTTTAAGCGTAAAGAAAGATAATGAAAATAAAAAAATAAAAAATTAAGAATAGAAAGAGCATTTGAAAAACTATGCTAAAAATTAAGGACATTCTTTTGCTTAGCGGTTGTCAAAGACAGCTCTCCGCGCAATGAAAAAAAGCATTCGATCAATTCGACTCGCTCGCATTTTCAAAATTACAGATGGATTAAAGCGAATAAATTTAGAAATATTTCTTTAAGCGTCAAGTTTCTAATAGTCCTTTGCACAAACCGATAAGTACTTCTGATTGTTTATAAAAAAATTATAATTTCAAACGATTTGAAACGAGTAATTTAAATCGTCAAAAGTCTGTTTAAAATTTTTGAAAATTAAATTCTTTCAACTTCTAGATTCTTTTTCAACGTTCCAAAAATGCGTGTACCAAATTTAACGTCTTAATATTGATTAGAAAAAATTATAGAAGCGACTTAGTGGAACGGCCTTGTGCCGAGGAATTGATGTTTAAACACATTTTATTAATAATTTTTGTAAATGCACCATTACCTATTTTTATTTTAATGCGCCAATCACTTCAGAACTGAAAAAACTTTATCGATTTAAAATTTTGAGATTTTCTAAAGAAGGGTTCTATATTGTTTATTTAATCTAAATATTTATCTAAATTAAAATTAAAAAATGACTTCTTATGGATAAGTATATATAGGACGGTGTTTTCTCATATTCTAACTTAAATTAATATAGAACGCTTCTTTAGAACATCGTAAAACTGATGAGATAAAGTTAATTTAGTTCTGAAGCGACTGATGCATTAAAAAAAATAGGTGACGGTGCTTTTACAAAAGTTATTAACAAAAATATGTTTAAACATCAATTCCTTGACGTAATGCTGTTCCAGTAAATTGCTTCTATAATTTTTTAAAATCCATATTAAGACTTCAAATTTGGTACACGCATTCTTGGCATGTTGAAAAATAATGTAGGATTTTAAAGAATTTAATTTTAGAAAATTTATGACTTTTGATAAACAATCAAAAATACTTATCGATTTGTGGAAAAGACTATTAAAAATTTGATGTTTTAAGAAGTATTCCTAAATTTTTTTGCTTTAATCTACCTGTAACTTTAAAAATACGAACGAGTTGAACTGATGAAACGCTTTTTTCTTTGCGAGGAACCCTCTTTGACCACCGCAGAGCAAGAGAACGTTTTTAAAAAATAAATTATAATTCATGACAGTGAATAAAAAATTAGTTTATTTATGTAGATTAAGATACAATTAATTTAAAATAATAAAAATTAAAAAGCTAAGTGAAATAATTAAACAACGCACCTATTATTTTGCACATTTTATTGAACAAACACTACAGAAACATATATAAAGTAATTATAGTTTTTCAAATAAAAAATTGAAGTATACAGATACATTAGATATATTCTAGATACAATTTGCGTAACTTTTTTAATCTAATAATTTTAACTGTTGTAAATTAACTATCAATTCGTACTACAATTTTCGCTTTTATTCGCATCCATACGGTTTGCAAACATACAACCGCTATTAGTTAAAATGAAATGTGAAATAACAATTTTACTTCAGAGTTACAGCGGTAATAACTTGAACCACTGGTAAATTATTTTGTTCCAATTCAATAGAACATCGTAATCCGTCAGTTAAACGGTACAGTGATTCGTAAAAAGTATTATTCTTATTTTAATACAAGTTTTTAAAAAAACCTGCTTTACTTTTCACTATGCACGCGATCACATATGTACACAATTTACACGTCAATTTTTCCTACGATATCTTGTAGTATACTAAAGTAGCGATTGATGAAAGTGATGATCTAACTATGATTAGAGTTATTTCATATACATGAAGTCAGATGCCTTGTTGGATTGGTTTTGTTTGTAAACTCTCTTAATTTAAGAGAATTATATCCGCCTTGCATTCGAAATGTATTTCAGCCGCATGGTTAGCTGCGATACCTATTTTTTTTTTTCAAACTCAATTAAAAATATGAAAAATATGCAGTATTTTATATAACCAAAATAAAGCATTCTAGCTAAATACGCAGAACCTCTGTTTATCAAATTAAGATGTATGTAATGAATCGTAAAGTTTTACAATCATGACTGTATTACCGGCCACCGAAAATTTCGCAACTACGTGCAATTATTGTTACATCATCACAATCAATGACACTTGCGGTGATATTTTAATACGTGATTATAAATGCTTTTTCGTATTATTCTAATAAACTTACCGCGTTGTTCAAAGTGTTAAAAATATCAACGAAAATAAAGGTTGAATTTATATCTAAATAGTACGATGGCGGACAAATAAATTTTGTGCCAGTTCTCCATTCTAGTTTGGTGTCCAAAACTTGAACAAAAAATGAAAAAGTTAGATTAATAAATAATAAAAATGTATCATTTTATATTTAACAAATTATAACAATTTTTAATATAAACAACAAACTATAAAAGAAACTATAATTACATTTAATTCTTTTCTTCTTTCTTCTTCTCTTCACTTTCAGTTTGCTGTTCTTGAGTTTGCTGTTGGTTTCCTTCACGTTCAGCGGCCATCTATAAGAAAGTTATTATTATGTATTATTGTCTATAAAATTATAATTTCAAAAATAATTATTCAGAAAAGTAAAAACATCGTTCTAAAATAGTAAATGTAACCATACCTTCTTGTAGGCCATCTCGAAGAGCTTGAGACTCGCTTGTTGAAGTTCGTTCGTTTGTTTCTTGATTTCTTCAGGATCCATTTCATCTTTCTTTGTTAAAGTTTCCCTCATCTTAGCAACTTGTTCCCTCAGCTTGTCACACTAAGTTATAAAAATGTTTTGATTTAGGTTTCTCATTCCTAAGAAATAAAATATTCAAATTATCATTTTAGTTACCTCATCCTGTGGTAGTTGAGCTTTGAATTCTTCCATCTTTGCTTCGGTGTCGTGAACAATACCTTCTGCTTGGTTAACAGCTTCAACTCTTTCCTTCTTAACTTTATCTTCCTTAGCGTACTGTTCAGCATTCTTGACCATGTTTTCGATTTCATCCTTGCTCAAACCACCACTCGATTGAATGACAACTGAAATTTGCATAATATTACATTAATGTTATTGCAAAAATGGAATAATTTTACATATTTATTTTCAGTTGATATATAATCAGTTGCTTTTGTCCACACGTGTTATATACCATGTACGTAACTTTGAGAGACGAAAAATATGAGCATCATTTTCATTTGTTTTAATATCTAATATGAAAATAAAATTTCTGGGTCACTTACTTTGTTGTTCTTTTCCAGTACCCTTGTCCCTGGCCGATACATGGACAATACCGTTGGCGTCAATGTCAAAAGTAACTTCAATTTGCGGAACTCCTCTTGGTGCAGGAGGAATACCAACAAGAGTGAATTGTCCTAATAGTTTATTGTCAGTAGCCATTTCACGTTCTCCTTGATGTACTTTAATTTCTACTTGAGTTTGACCATCAGCTGCTGTTGAGAATACTTGACTTTTCTTCGTTGGAATGGTTGTGTTACGAGTGATCAGTCTTGTGAAAACTCCACCTAAGGTCTCAATACCTGTAATTTAAATAAACATTACATTGTGAAGCATAAATAAACGTGATATATTCTTCGAAAAAATCTATTTGTTAATATATAACTCAGAACAATAAATGTCAGCTTTTAGTTCTCAGAGAGAAGATTAGTCATACATCACAGATATAAATGGTTGATTCATTAAATTTTTAATAAATTAATATGTACCAAGTGAAAGTGGAGTAACATCCAGCAGAAGCACATCAGTAACATCTCCAGCCAACACACCACCTTGGACAGCAGCACCAACAGCGACAGCTTCATCGGGATTAACAGCCCTTGATGGTTGACGACCAAAGATTTCTTGTACAGTTTGTTGTACCTTGGGTACTCTGGTCATACCACCGACAAGAAGAACATCGCCAATATCTGACTTCGATACCTCGGCATCACTGAGTGCTTTTTGACACGGTGCGATTGTACGCTTGATCAAATCAGCGACAAGGGACTCGAACTTGCTTCGTGAAAGTTTAAGATTCAAGTGTTTGGGTCCACTGGCATCCATGGTTAGGTAAGGCAAATTGATGTCGGTCTGCTGAGAACTCGAAAGTTCGATTTTGGCTTTTTCCGACGCTTCCTTCAAACGCTGCATCGCCATTGCATCTTTGGTTATATCTATTCCTTGCTACAAATAAAAAGCATGAATGATTCAATTTGATATTTTACATTATATTCAATTAGATTAAACTACTGCATTTTTGTCATTATAATAATCACGTACCTCTTTCTTGAACTCGGAAACCAAGAAATTGACCAAAGCATTGTCGAAGTCTTCACCTCCCAAGAATGTATCTCCATTAGTTGACTTGACTTCAAAGACTCCTTTTTGGATTTCTAAAATCGAAATATCAAAAGTACCGCCTCCTAAATCATACACAGCAATGCTAAAATTAAAAATACGTTATTTATTAAACTATAAATTTTAATGAAGTTATATTATAAAATGATTTTTACTGATATATTACATTTTATCATCAGTTTTGTCCATGCCATAAGCAAGGGCAGCTGCTGTAGGTTCATTAATTACTCGGAGAACGTTCAAACCAGCAATCTGACCAGCATCTTTTGTGGCTTGTCTTTGCGAGTCATTGAAATAAGCGGGAACAGTAACAACTGCATTCTTAACTGGAGTACTTAAATAATTTTCAGCAGTTTCTTTCATTTTCATTAAAACAAAGGCTCCAATTTGACTAGGAGAGTACATTTTTCCATCACTTCCTTGAACCCAGGCATCACCATTCGAAGAACGAACAATTTTATATGATACCATTTTCCTAGAAAAGATAACCTCGATATACAATGCCATCTGAGTAAAAGTAATAACAAAAACAACATTATACTTACATGTCCTTCTTTACTTCAGAATCTTCAAACTTTCTACCAATAAGACGTTTTGTGGCATAAAAGGTGTTAGCAGAGTTTGTGACTGCCTGTCGTTTCGCTGGCATACCTACTAATCGTTCACCATCTAAAAAAATAACATAAAATAATAAAAGGTTATAAAATAAATTATTTATTAATTTAAGAAATATAAAATTTTAAAACTCACCTTTAGTAAAAGCAACATATGAGGGTGTAGTTCTAGAACCTTCTGCATTTTCTATGACCTTGGCTTGTTTTCCTTCCATAACAGCAACACATGAGAATGTGGTGCCAAGATCGATACCAATGACTGCACCTTTGACTTTTTCAGATCTATAATATAATAAAGTTAAGTTGATTGACAAAGCGGTTAAGTTATTGAGAAAAATTTCACAAGGAAATTATTAAAGTTTATAATATCATTATGTTATATAAAGACACTGTGCAAAGGTTAATTACACAATATATGTGAGTAAGCTACTTTAAAAACATAAGAAAGATACAGTTTAAACTTACTTAAAACGATATTGTTGGAAGTCATTTCGCTGTGGAAAAGCAACTGTTGGGGCAGCAGCCTAAAAATATGATTAATTAATCAAATAAAATGTTTTAGATGAATAATTCAGTTCAATAGTTTTTAATAATGTGTTTATAATAATATGTATTGAAAATTGAATAAAAACCATATAGTACATGATATTTTTTTCATAAAAAAATTTCAGAGTGCAGACTGATTGCAAAAAATTTCTGAAACTATCATTGAATATCGAAAATCGCATGCATCGATTTTGATTTATTACGTACACTAATTCTCCAGAAATTATGATTCATAAAAAAGGATAAATAGTTAAATAATACTGACTGCTAAACTTCTCGGTGGTTCTCGAAATAAATAAGATCCCTATTCCACGATTTATCTACCGATAAAGTTCAAGAGCCCCTTGGTATCTTGTTTTGAGGAGTGTTCGCTCGAGGAAAACGTTCGGAATTCGTAGACACGTGCCGGCACGACTGTCGGAATGCAATTGTTTGTAGCTTCTTCCTGAATTTTACTTAACACAACTTTGAATATGCAATTTTATTTTTAATAAAACACGACGATACAATTTCTTAGAAGGGATTTAACCTCAAAATAAAAAACGTGCACGAGACGACTTTAAAAAAGGAGCAAAAAACTTCGAGAAGCGTTGTAGATAAGGGGGTTATATGAATGAGATAATGATTCTTTAGAACGCGTCATCCCAAAGATAAATGATAAAATGAAGCTGCCATGGAATTGAAGCGTGTGAGAATTGTCGATTACCCTCAAACTGGAAATCGGACGTAGGGTAAAAATGAATACTCACGTTTTTAAGGATGGTGCTAAATTGCTGTTTCCTGATAATGTCGCAGGTTGTGGCACCACGGCCGAAGAGCCTAGCAGCGACAAGCATTTCGAAGTATCACTCCAATGTGTCAACTCACGAGCAACTCCAACGAGGAGAGCGAAATCGGAAACAAATCCCGACGATACGAAAAGTAGCGAACGACGGCTTCACGTGCAATGATGCAACCCTTCGGCCACATTCGCCGCGATGTCTCCGCTTCGTATAGGGCGCATGCGTATGACAATTCACGTCAGCTTATACCGACTAATCGACGTAAAAGATTTAGAGAAATGACCAATAGAAAACGAGGCATGTTGGAATGATCCAGAGGCCGGCAGGCGAGGCTTGAGAATCCTCGGAATTCTCGGGAATGTTCTATCAAACTACAAGAGTCGAACGAAACTACAGGCTATTTTTTTAGATCATAAAATAAAAGAAGTGGAACGACTTTAGAGCATTAATTCTTTTAGTATATCTTGAAAGAAATTTTAGCGATGAATAATTTGGACTAGCTTTCAATTTTCTGCGTTGATACAATAATTTGTAGTGATGATCAATTGATGTGCGTGGTAAGGGCCAATATTCACGTGATTTCCGCTACGTTTAAATTTTGGCTGATACAATGGAATCTGCATTGGTAAGTATTTCGCTATGTAGCTACGTTGCTTTTACGTTTTGTCAAATTATAACGATATCATGCGTTGCAATTGCATAACTTTCTTTTCGGATGTATTAAATGTTGAGATATCTATTTAAATGCATAAAAATTGAAACATAAAAGGAATAAGGTATCTAGCAATATGATAATATTACATTACTATTAAAATCATATAGTTATTGAAAAAATCAAAGCGAATATTACGTGTAATTGTGAATTTTTGTAAATATTCATTATGTTTTTCTCGACGACAAATGTTGATGAGATGAGGATTTTACTGGTAAAAAGGACTGAAATGTTGAAATTTGGAATATCGTTTTTTTATTAACGTTTTTTTCAGTTACAATTTTGATTACATACATATAATGGTGGACTTTTAAACACATGTTGCTATGATACAAATGACAAGGATAAAAATTTGTTTTAGGGAGTGCGTAAAAATGTATTTAGATGACAATTTGTTTTCCTTATTATTTTATTGGTCATGGAACGAGTCAACTTTGAATGTATATTAATATAATATACCGAGCTAACTCATCTCCACTTAAAGGGTAAATGTTTATATCCTTGCACGCAATAATCGCCCCTATTTCACTAGTATTTTTTATACACTATGCCGGTGCACATTCGTCGCTCGTTCTTTTCGGCCACCTTAATATCTTCATCTGACCGACACACTGACAAAGTAACTTGGACTACAGACATGGAGCTTCTCGTTTTTTATTCCGAAATCCAGCCGCTCATTTTCGCATTCTCAAAAGCCACCTTTTCAAAAGTTCATTATTTAAGTGCTTTAAAACAAAACCAAAACTGCAAGTCTTTACTGACATACGATTGACTTTTCAAGTCATTAATTAATCTCTAATAAAATCTAGACTCGTTTTGGTTTTCGCTTTATTTACAACCTGCTGCTATATCGTGTTCAGAGGTTTCTTCTAGAATTCAGATTTGAACATCGATAATAAATTTAAAAAACATCTTTTTATATCCAGCTATTCCCTGAGCTATAACAAGAGACTTACAAATATTCTTTATCCCTTACCAAAGTAGAAAATCCGTATTTTTCAATGATAAAAATCGATCCTAGGTACATACATACCAATGTTATTGACAGCTATATATAAAACTTTTTAAATATTAACATAAAATTTTTACAGAATTTATAAACTAATTGCCTTTCGATAAACAATTATTTCTTTTTTACATAAAAACTTCTATCGGGAAAAATAAAGTAATAAAATACAGTAACATTTTCTTTAAATCATTCAAAAGTTGGTCGTATATTCAATTATTCAATACATCTTATGAGACATGCCTATGTGGAAATATCAGAAACTACATTTCTAAAAAGTTGATTGTATTAAAAATGTCTTGCATTATTACAAATCCATTTAGCACTTGGTTTTGAAAATGCATTGTCAACACATCCGATTATTAACGTGTGGAAAAAGAGAAGATAAAATGAACAGTAAAAAGAATATACGACAAAAGAATAATTTATATTGATTTATTTACAGTTGATGAAAGTACACGATTTAATACATCCTATGTCGAATGATTGTTGATAATGCACTTCTCTTACTACCTAACATAAAAAAAATAATAATTTAGGCGCTCGATGTCCATCTTCCACAGTTTAACTTTCGTCATTAGCATTGGTGTTGAAAAGACTTATTTTCATTTGTCGTGTTTTTTACGCTCTAGCAGGTCGAGATACCTTTGCGACTCAATGTGCTTTGCTAACAATTAAAAATTTCCTATTACTTATCATTCATGAATTTTTCTGTCGTTTAAATTCAATTCACATTATTTAGAGTATAATAATTAATTATAATAGTGTCATTATAATTCGTAATAATATACAACATTTTTCAATAGATCATTTATCCTGAAAACCCACGGAACTCTTCTACACTGTCCTCCTAATCTCTCTTTCACATGCTCACCAACACATTCAATCTAACTCATGTACACTTTCTTTTTTTCTATATACTTTGCACAAACATTTTTGCGCTATGGGACTGTACTGGCTTGTTCACGCGTAGCTTACTTTATTAACTCTTGTTGATGTGTATGTGTGGCTGTCTTGTTTGTATAGAACTGTGACTTTATCTCTCGATGACTGTCTTTAAAAATTGTCGCTTAAAATTGTCGTCAAGTGTGCTCTATAAACTAAATTGGCTCGTATGTATAACTGTTTTTACACGCGTTGGATTAAGAATGAAACGTTTTCACAACTGCAAGCCACAGATGTGCGATGAGAGGAGAGTTTTTACTGTTATTTACTATTTACTATATTTGCACTCGTTAAATCTATTTTATTTCATTTGATTTTTTTAACCTTTCGATTTCCCGTGAAAATAATTTTAATCCAATACACAAAGTTTTTCAGGCTAATTTTACGAATTCGAAAATTGCACTTTATTCATTTTTCTTTGAATTCAAACAGCTACAAACACAAACAGCAATGGAAGTAGACAAGAGTAGCAAGGAAAGTTCACTGGATTACTTTCCACAAAACAATTTATTTTCTAGTCTATCAATCTATAAATGCTTCAAAATTTTCAAAACTATTATTATAAAATACCTGATGCAATTGTATATTTAAAAAATTATTACAACATAACGTTTTTATGGTAATAAAAAAATTTGTTAATGTAAGTATTAGTTTAAGCTTATAAAAATTGTGCTACTAAAAATTTTTGTACTTAACAATGAAATTAATCCAAAAACTTGATTTTTACTTAAAAATTATATCATTAATGCCCTGTCTTTATACATCTGCATATTATCAGCGAAGATGTCAGCAATAAATCATGAACTATCAGTAAATGACATAGGAACAAATAAAATAAGGAACATAAAACAATATATAACTTAAAAAAATGAGGAACTATGTACACGAAATTAAATAAACTTACTGGCAAAAGAAAATTCATTAAATTTTTGTGCATTGTTCAAAAATTATCTAAATCAATTTTTTTTCGAATTTGAAATCAAGTTTTCATTGAACGGTGAAAAGTTACAAAACCAACATTATTCTTTCATATCAAAGATTCATGGTGCATTTTTGCAGTAACAATCACTGTAATATTTTGAGCTATCCACAATAAGTGTATAAAGGGCTGCAAAAATTAACCATAAGATTTTTTTCGTCGATGTGGAAGAATCATCTTAATCGTTCAATAAAAAGTCAATATATAAAAAAAATTTTAACACAAAATATTTTTCAACACTCCGTGCGGAAAGTGCGTTTTTCTCGCACGCTCGGCAAAAAACGTGCTTTGAAAATCGCACTTTCCACACGTCGTATCAAAAAATACGGTACGGCACATGTTCGGGAAAGAGTTTCTCGTCTCGTGTACCTTTCCACCCTCGCTTCGCTCGGGCGTAAACGCCACACGAGACAAGATTCTATTTTCCCGCACTTGTATCGTAATGTACTATTACGAACTCTGCACTCTAATACTTGCCATGTATAAAAAAAATGAATCATTGAAATCGTGTTTCCTTTAGCTACTCTTGAGCAATGTGAAAAAATTGTTTTCAATTTGATATTGTAGAAAATGATGACAATATTTTTCTGCATTCTACAACATACCATACACAAATATACTCCGATGGGCTGTTGTGCGTGAAAAAGTTGAAATAAGCACTCGAATTTTTATGAGAAAATGATGCGTGGAAAAAGTTGTAAAAATTTCGACTAAAAGAAAAACTTTGCTCGTTGAAATAATTTGTGCATTTGAAAATCACATTTGATAATGAAATCTCCTTTTTTCATCGCCTTTTTCTTCTACTTTAAAGTTCTTTTGATCGATTGTATTTCCAGGTTTTGATAAATTCATTCTCTCCTTCATTCGTGCTATCGCTCTGTTCAACTGTTTCTCAGTTTGCTTACAAACGCTTGCACAGTACATTCTTATTCTAGATTCTCCTTATAATATTATATTTCATTTACTCTATTAATTATATCAATACTGTTGACGGATAGAGATTCTTTCACAGCTCCGCGCCAGAGCATTCGAATAAAATCGTCCCTGCCGCGTGTGGCAATATTTTTTCTTTTCTATTACTTCTTACTCGCATTAAGAACCTTTGAATGTTCTTTCAATTAATATCGATCATATCTTTTTTTCATTTTTTCACATGTTAAAGAGGCTCACGCACACGTTCCGTTTCTTACTTTACTACTTCCTTGCTCTTCGCGTTTTCGACATTTATTTCTTGTATGTATAATCTATGTATATTCCCCTGCACCTTACTTCACACACACATAAGTGTATATGTATATATAATATATCACACGCCGAGCGCTCACTTTTTTCATGTTGCGCACTGTATTGAATCTAACGTGACCGCCCCTTTATTCACACACACTCTCTTTTTCTCTCGCTGCATTGGCGTAGATATACAAATGCCATCAGCAGTTCTGGCATGGCTCTACCATCGTGGTCGACGTCAAGGGAGAAGGTTGCGGACAACCAAGGACAAAAAGAGGAAGATTTCTCTAGAAGCTATCGTTTGAACAACAAACGAACGAGAGGTTATTTCGTGAAGCAATTGGCACTTTTTGTTCCGAAATTGGTAATTCCAAGCATTGAACTGGAAAATGAAATGTCGGATGGTCCTCTCCCCATTGACGGCCGGTTACTGGCTGCTGCGACGGAATACGGTCAGTCTAGATGTGACCGTGCTGCGTGAGTAAATACTCGATTTGCTGCAGATAGTAGACCTGCTGGAGTAAGCTTTGGATGGGGTTGTGAGGCTGTCCGCCAGCGGAGCCCGCGGCTGCGACAGCTGCCGCTTGCTGACCCTGCTGCAGCAGCAGTTGGCTTATGCCGGCGGCCACCTGCGACTGGGCGCCCGACATGCCTGTTGCTGTTTGCTCTTGTGCCACGGAAGGCACTGGGCCAGTTCCCGGAGCTCCGCCGATGGCGGTGGCGGCGCCTGGCAGCTGAGGCGGTCCACTAGGTGACGGCTGCAGATGGTGCGAGCCAGGCAGAGGCAGAGTGCCGATCTGAGAAAAACGGGCGGCGGTCGAGGGCAGAGATGAGGTGGCGGCCGAGAGCGACGAGGCTGAGGTTAAGTAGGATGAGGGGAGCTGAGAATTCTCGCCCCGCTAGGGAGCCACGTTCTTGGGCCTGCGCCCCCGTCGCCCCCTGGTGGGGGGGCGCGGGGACTCCTGGCCTCACTGGCTCACTGCGGGGCTCTTCTTGTCTTGCTGCTGCTGACTTGCGTCCGGAGTACCCTGCACTCCTGCGCCCGCGCCGCCTGGCGTTCCCGGCACTCCCTACTCAACCGAACACGTTTTTTATTAGCAAACGCATTTTTTGCATTTGATCAGATTTCAATTAATTTAATTTACCTGGTTGCCTGGTCCGCCCTGCGGTGGGCCTGGACCCCTGTCTGGGGGCCAGGAGTTACCGGGCTGTGGTTCCGAGTGAAACTGATGTGGATGTGCAGGAGGTCCGCCCGTCGCGTCGTGACTATGCGGATCCAAACTGTTTGCCGCGTCGTATTGCGTGTTTTCCAGCCTCGTGATCAGTCTCTCGTCTTCGTCGCCAAACTCGCCACCCATCAGAGATGGCTCACCTACTACCATCACGTCCTGAAAAAGATGTATTGTCAATTAATGTCACACACGTCATAGAAATTATACGTTATCAATTAACGTCTTTCTTTAATTTTCATAGTTCTACAGGAGTAATTGCTTTTAGTTACCTGAGTTGTGAGGGAAAAATTTGGCCCTGGCGATCTCTTTTTACTCGGTGCCGGTGGTGCATTGTTTCCTGGGCCTGACGCACTACCTTTTCGCTTTCTTCTCTTGTTTGCTGGCCTTTGAGATTCTGCAAAGTAAAATGTCTCACAATTATTACAATTATTCCAATGTTGGCCTTATTAAAATTCCAATTTAGATGAAAATGTATCTTCAACTGATTAGAATTCTATATTTCTCATTAATTGAACTCAGATTCATTTATTCATTTTAAGAACAGAGGCTGGACGACACAATTATTTTTATTTTCAAATATACAAGGAAAGGAAAGTATGCTTTCATTTAAGCCAAAGTTTCGTAAAATTTCATTACGTTAGTTCAATTAATAACAAGTTCTTAAGTTTTTTCTAGCCGGACCTTTCTCTCTATCAAAGGCCTCTTATGCACACATATTACAGAAATTGGATACAACAACTAAGACATAATTACGATTATTGTATAAATGGTGCTAATGAAAAGTATTATTTGAAAAAGTGTTTGTTAAAAAAGAATTGAATATTAAACAAGAATACTATGTTTATTAATAGATTGAATTAAAAAGCATATATTTTCAATTAGCGTATGTAAAAAAAGCTTGCATTGTTCATTGACAATGAGAAGCACCAATACAGGCGGCTTTGATAAATCATCAGACATAGAAATAAAAATAATTATTTGCTTCGTATTTTTGTTACATGAAATCAACGACCGAAAAACCGTCAATGTATAAATAAATCAATGAAAAGATATTTCTGTTTCAACGAATGAAATGGCTCAACAAACCGCCATTTTATCATCTATATATAATGAGAATATGATTTCAAAAATTATCATCTGATTGAAAAATACGAAGCAAATAAACGGGCAAAAGTGTGCAATTTTTCCGATAGGAGATCATGGCCAATCGTGGAAGCCCGTACGCGCTGTCTCACACACACGTTGCGCAATGTCGCGCACCCTTGGTTCCATCAAGGCCCCGCCGACCTTGTAAAGGATATACGCTCGTAGGTACCAGCTCGAGTGGGAAAGAGCCAAGCAAAAAAATGTATATACGCAGCCGTCGCCCCTCTGCCCTCACGTAAATGCATATACATGCCCCTGGCGTGTTTTGTATTTACCGAACTGAAGTGCGTTCAAGTGCAATTGGGAATAATGCAGAATCAATTTGTATTCACGGTACTTTGAAACCTCTTTAGAACTGCAATGATGACTTTATATATGTAGTCGAAAATGCATTGAATTCTAATTAAGTTAGATTCAAATTATGAGAGTTGTTAATTACAAAATGATACAACGCTCAAGTTTGATTGATTATACAAGTCAAATAAAATGTCCGTAAGTCAAAGACTACTTGGACATTAAAAAAAATGTGTCATAAAAAGCAAGTCAAAAACTGAACTTGAAACAGAAAAAGCAGCCAGGAGTAAAAAATTGCGCGGAGGCATGCGCCGAGAGACGCACAGGGAAAGGCGGTCGATCTTCAGGTGGATAAGAGCAGGCAGACCCGGACGTTCATCGTCTCGCGGAGACGCGTGCCCAGCCAAGCGTGAAGTTGGGAGTCGTAGGCGCGAGAAAAGAATGCTTATCGTTGCATTTGCATGCACAGACTTCGTTTTTTCTTCTCTCTCTCTCTCTCTCTCGCTCCTTCTCTCCATTTTGCTTATGTCTCTGTCAACGACAAAAATATAATGCAAAGAGGAGAGAAAGAGAGAGAGAGAGCCGTGTTATTATCATTAATTGAATAGTTGAAGCGTCCGCCTTGCGAGGAACCAAAAGGTGTGAGAAGCGTGTATTTTTTTCGTTATTTCGATGTTTTCTGGTGGTTCTCATGTAAAGCAACTGTCCGTCTACCTCTCTTACCCGGCGGGGCAACCATCCTCTGCCATTTCTGGAACAACGTCGTCTTCAGGCAGTCGCGCGGCGAAAGTGCGTACGCCTTGTGCCTCGACATCAGTTCTTGCATCGGCTCCAAGATAACGCATAACTGTAAGAAATTGCATCTCATTAAAACTGTTCACGGAATGACGTTTTACGAGAAAGAAATCGACGAATCGCTTAGTTTTTTCGCTTACCCTAAGGTAGTTCAGTGTAGAATTGGTGATACCCTGCCTCGTGATGTTTTTGCTGAGTTGCTCGATCGCCGAAGGATCCTGCGACATCGAGACTATCGCCCTGGGTACGAGCTCCCGGTGCTGCCTCACGATCATCTGCCACGACCTTATCCTCATGAGGTCGTCGTTAGTGTACTCCAATATTAGCTTGCCTTCCGTGCACACCTGCGCGTATCACAACCAAAACGACATTCCAATTAGACTTAAACTCACGTTCAACCATTTGCATATCTCAATCTGAGGTTACTTATTTCCGCTGTTTACTTTTTACAAATTTTAACATGAAACTTTAAAGTGGTATAGCAAAGAAGAGCCGAACAGTGTGAATGATATTGGGACTACCTTTGTGAATGTCGGTTTCCCATGATGCGTGACCATCACGCAGTTATCACAATCTAGCGTTATCATGGTGCTGTGATACGACTCCTTCGGGTGCTTTATGTTGTAATAAAGCTCCGTTACGCCACCCTCGAATATCGAACGGAAATACCTTGGTATCAACGTCCTACCTATCGCTGAAAAATTTTCAAAGATTCAATATCGCAAATAGTCCATTTATTCCACTTGCAGTTACCGGAGAAACGAATCAGCATGCAAATAAAAAGCAAGTCAACCAATGAAGAGCTTCTAATTGATAAAAGTTAAGATATTGGCAAAGTTTTCCGGCAATTTGAACGAAGCCCCTTATCCCATGTAAGTGAATGAATGTATATACATAAAATTGTTCTTAATTGCTTACTGTATCTTTTGGGTCCATCCTCTAAACAGAATTGAAGCGTCATCGTCGCATCATCCTCGAAAAACTCAGTAACAAACGAATCCCACCAAAGATTATCGCTTTCCTGCAAAAACAGAAGCAAATTAATATTAACATTCGTACGATGACGATTTCTCGCTCGATCAATTTTACACTGCAGGTGTCTCGCCAGCAAGTACCAGTATTTTCATTATCTTGACGCGAGTCAATCGGCGATAAAAGCTACACTGGGCTAAATTCACACATAAACGCAGGGCTCGACACGTGCGAGAGTCGAAGTCATAAAAGCAAATCTTGGACTGAAAGTATTCACGCGAGGGAGGGGGAGGGGATTGTGCAGCTAAAAAAAGGAGAATTTATGTAGGCCACAATGTCTTTTTTCCCTGGCAATCAAGATTCGCGCCTATAAAAATCACTTACGTCGCCAGGGGCCACCGGCGCGCGCGCCGCCGAGGGTCGTTTAGTCGCTGCCTATAAGGGACGATGATACTCGGGATACGCACGCCTTCGAGCTTTTACGGCGATTTAAGTATTTCGCGTCCGATTTGCACGTCACTAGCAAGCCCGCGTTATACTCCAAGATTTTGGTATTTTGACGAGCGTTTAGACATCGCGAATTTGCTCGTCCATACGTGCCTGGACAAGAAGCGCCGTTGAAGGAAGCGCAAAAGCTGCTGAATAACGCATGATGTCTCGGGCTCGCAGAACTTGCCGCGCACTTCAACAATCCTCCCCCGCGCCTCTTCATTCAATTATGCGCTTCGCCTCCCTTGCGCGCGCCCGAGCTTGACGTCCTCCCTTCGCCTCCCCCCGCCCCCTTTTGCTCGCCGATACTTACAACTTCGCTTATTCTTACTCTCGTCATTTCTTTCAGCGGGGCGAACTTTCTTCCTGCAAGCGCAGCGCGAATGAATAATTTATTGGAGCACCAATGAAGTCTGTAATTGCTGAATCGCGTTGGCTGGCGGCAAGGACATACCCGTAATCGCGGACATACGTATGATTACCTGCACGACGAAGACAAGGCTGACGCAATTGCTTTTCTTCTCCGAGAACGACAAATTACGATTCTTGCGAATAGAAAATAAATATTTCGAGAAAACGGCAAATCATCTGTGCGCGCGACTACATGCACCCGGTGCGTACGTGCATTCCCTAAATCAAGCCGCCGAAGCGAAACTCTCTTCTTGGCCGTCTACAAATCAATTTTGCGCGCGCCCAGGATTTATCGCGACGCATTATATTTTGCAGCTCACACGCGGGCAGACTTCCAAAAACCGACTGTCTACCGGCGGCGGGACGTCGCCATATATACTTCCGAGCTGCGCGAAGGTCCTCGTCGTTGTCGCCGTCGTCGGTGACAACGTCGCGTGGGTAAAAAGGTAAAAAGAGCATTTTAGCAGAAGAGTAGGCGGATAAAATGAAAGGAAATACATGCGGATCAAATGCACGAAACCCGTGGGAAATTGAATGAAACATCCTCCAAAACTAATAAGCACGGACCCGAAAGTTCAAGCTCTAATCTAATCTGATACAACGGAAAATAATACGTCTCGGTAAAGAAGGAGACGGCGAGAAAAAGAAAAAAAGAAAGGCATTCGCAGGTGTAAAGACTACGTTATACACATACGCCGAGTCTGAGAGAGAGAGAGAGAGAGAGAGAGAGAGAGAGAGGTGAGGTGCCGAGACTCCTTGCTACAGTCCTACGCGTGGCCGTGTCTTTCCGAAGCTTGGCAGTTCCCACAGAACCAGCGCCGGCCGCCAGACGAGGAGGTCCGATAGAGAGAGAGAGAGAGAGAGAGAGAGAGAGAGAGAGAGAGAGAGAGAGAGAGAAACACGAACACGCGGGATGTGTCTATAACTGGTTTCGCGCTCGCGCGCGCCACCGAAGTCACGAGCGAGGGCGCTTTGCATCCTCCTCCTCCTCCACCTCCTCGCCCGTCTTCTTCTTCTTCTCCCACCATCGCGCAGCACACACGCGTCGCTTCTTTTTATTCCTCTTTCGCGCCGAGATCATTTGAACGGACGCTCTGCTCGCGGCGGTCGAGTAGCCTTCGAATCCCTGATATCGATCTTCGATTGACAAGTAATCAGTTTGTTTTGACGACTGCTGCGCTCGCGAAACGCCACTCGTTTCGTCAAAGTCGATGAGTCACTTCGTTATCCCGTACTTCGGCGGTCGCGTCGTCGAAGCTTGCAATCGGCGCACGCGAACGCTTGCAGATTAAAAATAGAAAAGAAGGCGTAGGCGCTGCGACCGGGCGTCGCATTGTTTGGCGACGACGCTCGTCGGATGCAGTTATTGCCGTTGTCCGCTCTGATAGCCTTTAAGGAGACGCCAATTTTCGACGAGGTCGCCGTCCACGCCAGCGCGAGATCGGCTCCGCCATTGAAATTGATATTTCTGGCGGTAGCGCGCGGCCGCGAAATTAAAAGGAGACGAATTCCCTGGGAGACGGCGCGCTACTGCAGCCTTTCGCCACTCAAATCTTAATCATCGCGCGTACAAACGATGTTTAGCGAATCAACTTGTCAATAATCATTTGAAGCCTATTGCTTTTCGGGATAAAAACCCCGTAAACAAAACTCACGACAGACTGTTTTACGACTTGCTATTCACAATTGGTTTTTCAATAATCTCAATGACTAACAGTGCCTGAATGCCAATATTTATTGTAGTTCTATTGAAAGATCCTGAATAATTTGCTTCGATCGTCGCGGGTTGCGCGTCGGAGACAAAAGCCGAGTTGGTAATTATGACGACCGACTGGTGGGAACGGGAACGATTGTTCCAATCTTCTTTACAAAAAAAATGCCTACAGTCGACCGACAGATTGAATATTAAAAGTAAATGTGAAATAAAGGAAGTAATAACTTTCATTTGATTTATTTAAAAGCTTCCGCTACGAGTAAATACGACGTCAAAATCAACGCGTTATTCATTCTTTACGCGACGAGAAAAAGAAACGGGAATTTCGTTAGTGAAATTCCAGATACCGCGGCTACCGGGTTATTACAATTTTAGGACAAATATAAAAAAAATCTTATTGCCCGTAATTCGCTGTTTACGTGCCGATGTCATTTCTTTTTATACAGTCAAAATATTGCTCTTGCTCTAACCACTATGAGCGCCTGTTTGTATGAAAACAAAATATAAGTTCATAATTGCTCCATACGACTATAAAAAATGTCAGATTGCATATAAAGCAAAAAAACTTTATTATTGCTATGAGTATTGAAGTTTCCTGTTTACGCAGGTGTTGTTGCGGAAAAAACTCACGCTAAAGTTTATTTATAAGCTACAAGAGTGCAGTTGCTCTCGCAGATCGTCGATAAAAAAATAAATTGAATAAAACAAAATCCTAGCAACGAGAGCTGCGCCGATCGATAACGTCAGCTTTTGAAAACTCAGGAATTGGATATGTCAAAATCCATGGGATACCGTTGAAATGGGATTTCCAGGGAATTGTTGAAAGTTTCGTTTATTCTAGAGTGCACTGCGTTCCCGACGAAAAAAAAAAAAAAAAAAAACGAATAAAACCAAAAGAAAGAGAGTAGAGGAAAAAAAATTGCAATTTAAATGAAAATAGCGAGAATATAACAAATATATAGGCGACTACTATTTTCCGAGAGAAAATTAGAGCCGATGAATCATCGCTCGGATACACACTTTAAAGCGAAAGGACGATTAAAAATATAGGCGTAGAATGTTAAAAAAAAAAAATAAACGGTGGATAGTTGAAAAAGTACGAAAAGTCATCGACAGTCATCACGGCAAAACCTTAAAAAACAGTTATTTACCATCATCTTTGAAAATTAAAGCAAAACTCGAAGAGCCGGGCAGCTTAAAGGGGAACGTCCCTTCAGATTTTCCAAAAGCACTCGGAATCATCGGGGAAACGAGTGGATTCGCAGTGGACGACGGCAAGGAACAGTCGGACCATTGAGTTGCCAAAAAAATTCATCACAAACGCCGGAAAAAATAACGAAAAGGTTGGAAAAGTTGGAAAAGTGAGCTTTAAAGGTGGCAAAATTCTGCGCAGGACTGTACCAAGCGCGCAGTCTCGTGGAGTTGGCCGCGTCGACTGTACCACCCTACTGTTGTTAGGGGGGGGGGGAGACTAGGGGTGGTATATGATCGTGTATATACGCTGCGGGGAAAGTATTGTCGGCGGGCTCCACCTCTGGGTTTTCGGGAAAAAAAACGTTTAGCCGAGTTAATCGCGATCAATCGGCGCGCGATTTTGACGTAAAAATTGGGAAAATTCGTCTCCACATAGCCATCAAATTGCACGAATTTACATGCACGCGGGCCGGCATTAACGAGCAAGCTCAACTTTGCCTCTGGCCTAGGTGCTACGGGACAAAAGCTGCCCGGCCACGGCACCGCCGCCGCCGCCGCCGCCTCGAGTATATACGGCCAGGGGCGTCGGGCGCGCGCGCGGGGGGAACAAGAGAGCGAGCGAGCGAGAGAGAGAGAGAGAGAGAGAGAGAGAGAGAGAGACGGGGTACAATATGGGTTATCGAGGGGGGCCCCACCCCCGGGGGAGGGCAGGGGCCCTCATTTTATTACCCGGGCGCGAGCCGAGGTTCTCAACCGACTCGACTGCCTACGGCGACGCACTGCTGCTGCCACTGGCGCTGCTGCGATTTTCGATGCGCACTGCCACGGCCGCGGCTCTCCTCGCGATTAGCAGGTGAGCTGGCTGTGCCCAGATCTGCGGCGATCGCCCGCGAGCCGTCCGACGATTCCTCGTTAAAGGACAACTCCGACGCCTGGCGTGCCGTTCCTCGTCGAATAATCGCGGGCGACATTAAGATACGCGAGTCGCGCGAGCGAGACGGAAGGCTCTTTACGATTCGCGATAAAAACGCCGAGAGGCAGCGACTTTTCGGACAGAGCGCGGAAGCGGACACTCGCAAATGAAGCGAGGGACAGCCGAGACAGTGACGTAAATAATTTACGTCGACGACTTCGGGACAGCCACCAGAGAGTTTCGGTTTGGGGCGCGACACTACTGACCGCGGTTGAAGCCCGGCATCGCCAGATTTTACACTGATTTTCCCATCGTCGTTTGCCGATACTCCCCATTTTCAGAAATTGCCACTTGTATTCGTTTTGCTTTACGAATGAAATTTTTGACTTGGTTCGCAGCTCGGCTTTATAATGTGCCAATGAAACGAACGTTTTATTGAATCGCGATGATATTTCGCCAGTGCAAGTTTCGAAATCTCTCAAAAGAGTCGAAAATATTGAAAACTTTTCTTTCGCTCTTGCGCGCTGCGTGCTCGTGCCATCTACGTGATATGAAGTCTCCGGGAGAGAAAATCGCGATCCCGCGCCGTTTGCGCAAAGTTGGTATATTGTCGTCAGGTCGCCGGGGAGGAAGAATGTGCAGGATGGGAATCGGGCAAATATTGTCTCCCTCGCCGGAGGAACTATTTGACGAATACGTGCTCTACGCGCCAAGCGCCAGGCAAAAAATAAAGCAACAAAAGAGGTTCAATGAATGCTATCTCGATTTTATTTTTTTCGGGCGAAACTCCCATTTGGCTTTTTTCATAGACCAAAGTTACAATGTCGATAGATTGCGTCAAGTGCGTCTGTGATAATTTTTTGGGTAGCCTTACTCTTTTCACAGTTTGAAACAAGAGCTGTGTAGCAGCAACTAGATATATGGAATTTTATAATATATAGACGGATTCGAATGAGTTTCAATGGAGTGATCAAACATCATGGAAATGGAGAGGAAATACGATTTATAGACGCGCAATCCATCATATTACGCGAATATATCATCCGTAGATGTCGAGAAAACGAACCGATTGAATCGTACAATATTGAAGCATAAGTAGTGTTGCAGCAGCGAAGATGTAGACGAGGCATAATATATGCTAAAGGAATAAGAAATGTGCGGCGAGGTGGCTGTTATATAGCGTCATAATTTAATAGGCGAAAGCTGAGACTCGCGCTGGAATACAATGCTTCGAGTGCTACCACGAGAAGTTATCGCGAGTGCATTATATGCGCCTGTACTATTGTGTATATCATCTGCATCGCAGCTCGATTTTTAAAGATTCTTTTCCTATTGTCGATTAATCTGCTTGTAATGACATTCAGCGCGAAAATAATGCATAATTTCAGCGATGGAAATGTTCGGTTGCAATGCATCATCGATTGAGCGACGTATCGATCGTCGCAGTTTGTCGATCAATCAGACATTCGAAAACCGTAGCAACTTCCTTGCTCTCTTTCTCCAGGAAAAAAGTGGAGGACTTTCAATTTCGCGATCTTACGACACATATTCCGTCAATCAGCGATCGATACGGTACAATTTTATGATTGAAAGGCCGACAAGCGAGCGAGCTGCGCGCGCAGGACGGCATTCTTCGGGTTCCGCGAACGCTTTTTTCGCGGACCCGCTCGGACGGGCGTGCTCGAGAGCAAGCTTGAGAGGCCGCGCGAAAGGCTGAAAAGTGATTATTAGCCGCGTTGCCTGCGAGCGCAAAATGATAAAATATCCGGCGCGCCCGTTCAAATCTTCGGACCAATGACGAAGGGAACGCCGAACGGCGCCAAGGCCAACGAGGTAGCACATCGGTCGCGAGCTGGACGAGTACGTGCGAGGCCTGGACGCCGAGGAGAACTGCGGAAAAGAAATGGCTATCGCGAGCGCGCGAACGAGAAAGTTTGGTCTTTCTCCTAGGCTGCGCGCGAGAGAAAGCACATCCCACCGCCGCTTTTCCTCGCTCGCTACTACGTAGAAAGGCGAGCTCTGCCTAGCCATAGCACTGGTTCGCTCTCCGGCAAAAATTCGACGGAGATAATGGCCGATCGATTTTCCCTCGTTTTCTTTTCTATTTTTACTCGCTCTTGTTCTGACTCTTTTGCGTCGTGCACGTGCTCGGGCTTTTCTCTGCATCTTACGCAAGATGCTGCCTTCGCACGCGGTGAGGTTCGTTCGGTCTGCGAGAGAAAAATAAGGCTTGTTGGCGCAGGCCCTTCCGATTCCGGCTGTTTACGTTTAATAAAATGAATGAGCCGAAAAATCGGATGAAACTGACAAGAACTGAGACCGTGCGGTGCTGTCGTATCTCGCTAAGCGGCTTTCGTAGCAATAAAAATATTGGTCGACAGAAGCCGAAAGCAACAAGCAAATAAATACATATCGTAAGGACTTTCGCACGGTAGAGCTTCGCCGTTGGAATATTACGGGGCACCGGCAGCCCTTGACTACATCACTGCTGCTGCGAAGCCGATTTTTTCCGCTGCAGCGTCCTCCTTTTTTCGTTTTGTTGCTCACTGCCGAGTGCGCCGCCGTTGCCGTCGTCGTCGTCTTCTTCTTCTTTCGTCTCTCTCGCGTTTCTCCTTTTTCTCTCTCTCTCTCTCTCTCTCGTATATATACGCGCGGCCACCTACGTCCACCTGACGGAGAGAAGAAGAGCAGGTTCTTCTCTCTCTCTCTCTCTTTCTCTCTCCCTCTCTCTGTCTCTCTCTCTCGTGTAATCGATAAATATGCGAATTTCGAGGTTTGTTTCTTCTACTCTCATACACGGAGAACTTTGTTTATCGGCGCTTTGTCCGTGGAATGCAGAGCTGGCCGCACCCTAACCAATTAAATTTTATACTCCTTTCTTGGCCGGCCTCTACTAGACTACCATATAAAATCATATTTTTCCGCTCGTGATCTTCACCTCCTCTTTGAAGTTTCTCGGACTTTAACCGTTCGCTCGTTGTAATTTTTTCTTTCTTTTCGAAGATCGAGATTCCAATTAACGAGGAATGAACGAAAGGCCCGCAGGATTATATCGGCAGGATTCCTCAATGCGATCGCCCGAAAGCCCCTGCTCGCGTACGTGTGCATGCAGATCAAGAGGCTGACCTCCCCCTTCCGAACTTCAATTTCGCGATGAACCTGCGGATCTTATCGGACCGCTCCGGTGGACGTGCAGGCCGCTGCTTGCCTCGCTATTTAGCGCAAACGTAAATGAGCTTCCGTCGGGCACGCGACTCGGCATCTCTCTACCGATCGGTGTCGTAACTGTGCGTATTTATTTCTCGACGATATTTCGGATAGAAATGTTACGACGAAGGGAAGCCAAATTTCTAAATAATGCTACGCTCGTAAGGCTTCTCTCTCGCTACTCGACTCGCCTTCGAATGTATCGCTGCTCATCCACGGCGCTGCTGCTTCGTCTTTATTTTTATCGTGCGGGTCGACCTTTCCCAACCAACCGAACCAACGGGTTTTGCCAGAGAGAAGCGCCTTGCACGAAGGGGGCATTCTTGCGGCTATCGTTCCTCTTCTTCACTGCATGTGCCCGAGACCTGTTCTTCGCTCAAGGCATATCGCAATCGATGAATAACGTGGCTTTGCGCAAGCGTTTTGCAGCTCGCCTCGTTCCCGCAACAAATCTGACGTTTTCGAAAGCAAACTGTCGTAAATAACGTTTAGGATCCGAGCGCTCGAATGACCGCTCGCCCACTCGTCGCCCCCTCCCCCTCCCCCTCTCCTGCCACTTTGAACTTATGCCGCGTCCACTGAAAAATACGAGCTCCGCGCGTTCGCCGTCGAAAATATACGGCGTGCCGATAAGGAAGACAATGCAGACGAGGTGGCGCGTGCGCGCGTGGCCACGCGTAGCGCCGACAGCCGAGCCCGGCGTCACCGCGAGCGAGCGAACGAGCATGATTGACGAGCTGTTTGGTACGCGCTCGAGTCGGAAGGCCGCCAAAACTGTGAATTTGTCGGGCGCCGCGCTCAACGGAGGCCGAGAAAACGGATCGCGCGGAGCGGCAACGACCGAACGCACTCGCCACGTCGGACCTTTCGGGACGCTCGCTGCCCCGACGCGCCACTTGCGCCAGCGATGACGTCTCGTTGGCGTGGGCCGTCGCCGCGAACGTCCCAACGAGCATCTGTCGATGACCGGCAGCTGGTCGTTTCGATTGTCCGGCCAATTGATGGCTGTGATCAGAGCGACGCATTTCCGAAAGTAGCTAGCGGAATGATTGCCAGCTCCGAAGTGGACGCACGCAGCCGGAAAAGAAGACAAAAGCGTGCCGGAGCATCGAGGAATACATACTGTCCAAGGTCGTTCGAGAGCCAGACATTATCGAAGGCCGACGCCGACGCCGACGCGCTCTCGTACACGTATACGTATCTATATATCGGGAAGCGGTGGAGTTGTCAAGATCTCGTGTGAGTGTGCACGACAAACGTATGCCCGGCTCTTGGTGAAGCCAGTTCAGAGACAATATCTTATCGTTTATCGGTCGAATCTTTGTCAAGTGCCAGGCTCAATCTGACCGAATGCCAGATATTGTGGCATACATATCGCTTTTTCCTACTTTCAGTGATTTAGGTCGGAAACTGACAATTGCAGTGTAAAACGCATCGAAAGAGATACTTTAAAGAAAGATAATGTGAGCACTCACCTCGGTGCGCAGCTGTAACCTCTTGTTGAACTCGTAGAATCTGTAGTCCGACTGGCCATTGTAGAAGGTGTGCCTCCTGGGGACAGGCAACGTTGATCTGTCAGACCAGACCGATCGGTCATTTTAGGGTGTCGTGTACAGTGTATAAATTTTTTTTTTTATTTTCGCATTATATTTTATTTTAATGCGTTTTTAACGTGCACGCAACTACATAACAGCGACGACAATCACTAAAGTATACAACCTTCCATTGATGCAGCTCGCACGCGAACGAATAACCACATGCAAAAAAAGTTGTATACGTGCGATAAACTTTTTGCTTGAACAATAATATATCCTTTCTCCGTTGTCAGGGCTGCATCATGGGGTTACTTTACGATTATCGTGCCGTTCATTATTCAGAAAATATTTGATTTTCATTTGCGGTAATTCAAATGGAATTTTATTTGACATCTAATAATAAAAATGAAAAAATGAAACAAATAAAATGATTGTTTTGGTGTGATCCAAAAACGCAACCGACAAGTCAATACCTCGTTCAAAACACGTCTCACAGCAAATTATTAAGTTGTAGTAAGAGTTTCAAAAGTTGCGTTGCTCCGTTCCAACTGAAACCATCAACTCACACGTGTTCCTCTGCCGCCGTTTGACTGTTAGTTCTCTCATCGCACGAGAGAGAGAGAGAGAGAGAGAGAGAGAGAGAGAGAGAGAGAGAGAGAGAGAGAAATGGAAAAAATTTGTCACTCGCCGAGAAGACTGACACTATCGGACGTCGCCAAGTGCCTCCCGTACAATATAGTCGAGATCGTTAAGCTCCTCATTCGTTTTTCCGATAGAACAAAAAACAGCACTCGACAATGTATACCCGTTCACTATTACAAGCCAATTGAATTTATTGTTGTTTACGATGTTTTAAGCTTTCTTTTGCCGCGTATCTATCTCGACAGCGTTTGGACAAGATAAATAGTGTGAATTAGCATAATTACACGATTTTTCATTGGCAAAAAGGTAAATCTATGACACTTGGCCAAGTGGTTTTACGCCTAAAAGCGTTAAGACATTCGGTGGCTAGTAGTCGATGGAATGCCCATTGAATGAAAATAAGTGAAACGCCGCCACCCAATGCCTCATGTATTTATAGTCAATTTGCATACTCGACATACTCGTTTACGTACAATATAACTCACGAGTGCTACGGCGATCGCCAGGTAATGAATTGGCGATCGTTGCGCGTTTTTTCGTCTGCCTTTCCGTTCATAAATTTCAGCTACACAAGTAAATAAACTGCCGACGACAGCGTCGGCCAGCAGTTAGTAGACAGAAAGTCGTTAATCGATTGCGCTAAAGACTGGATCGCTAATGGAGTGCGACTGCGGCGGAGAGGAACCACTCGCGCGTTTATCCGGCGAGCAAGTTTGTCGGCTGAAGATCGACGCGGCGTGCCGCTGGAGATTATGTGTTCCGCTTACGCTTGCCGTTCGTTTCGCCGGCGCGCGGCGCGCAGTCGTCCCGCGACACTCGCTCGGGATGCAAGTTCAGCTGCCGACTGCTCGCCCGCGAGCGGCCTGCCAAATGAACTCGCGGCGCGATCTTCGCGAAATGCCGATTGGCGCGCGTCCGCCAGCCGCGCAGCAAGTCGATCTACAAAGTGACAGAACGCCCGGCGTACGGCGAGTAAATCAGCCGGGTCAGACGGGCGAAAAAGTGACGTATGACAATGGAGCTTGGCTCGATGCCGTACATCTTGCGGCAGGCTTATCGTGGGAGGAATGGGACTGTTATGCGCGCGCGTGTCCCGCGTGTTTCCCCACTGAAAACCTGTCGGTAATGCTGCCGGTGTTGGGCGTTTTATTAATTGCCAGCATAGCCACGACGACACACAATACATGTACATCGGCTGCGATGATGGATAGCCGAGATTATAGCTGCCCTTTACTTCGAGGCACACGGCGGCTTCCTGCTAATGCTTGTATAATTTGAATGTACGCGTGACACGCGGATAATAGGTAATTAAGCTTCGGGCACACATAAGCGCGCGTGCGAGATTTGCACGGCAATTTATACGATCATGCGATCGAATGTGTCCTCGTACGTTACAAGTGCTAACGGTTATTCCTATAATTGAATATGAATTATAATAATTTATTAGGGGGGTTGCGTACGAGGCCATTTAACGCGCTGCTTCGAACGAAATCGTAGCGTCGATATCACTCGGAAAGCCATTCAGACGAATCAGCATTTCAATAGAAAGATACTGTATATCCCTGCGAACTTGGCTTCGGCGAATCTCAAAGCATTACACGATGAATTAATACAGCGTATAACATAAATAAAACATGATTGGAGCATAAAAAAAGGAGGGCGCCCCCTTCGCTTCTTTGCGCCCTTTTCCCGGATGAGGGTCTTTCTCTATTTCATTTGATTTCGAAAATAGACGACTGCGAAAGGGTTAGCGTTCCAGGAGGGATGCAACGCCGTAAAGGGGAGGACGATGGTGTCGGATTGGCGTGCCTGGCCGGCGACGTCAAGCACCGAGCTCCGAGTCGGCACTCTCGACGACGTAATCGGGCGCGCTCGGCTGCCGCGGCCGGGCTCGAAGGGGTCGGCCGAGGGACTCGCCAATTCAAGCCAATCCGCTGCGCGCGCATCGATCAAAGAGACGCGGGCGGTCGTCGGAGACGCCGGTCCCCCGGTCCCCCGGTCGCGCGTTCCGCTCGCTCGCACCTCGGACAGCGGCCCCGACGACACCTGTCGGCCCAGCCTTAAGCCTGTGGCGCTCGCCGTCTAAGTCGGGCCGCTTCGATAAATTACCGAGCGGCCGCTGATCGACGAGCCGGCGAAATTCAGCGTCGAGCTATCGAGCGCCAAGAGCCGCAGCGGAGCGGCGCGCGTGGCGCCCGCCAGTGCCGCAACGAAGACGAACGAGCGCCGCGTGATCGGAAAGCCGATGACAAGCGGCACGCGCGCGTACTCTGGCCGTTCTCCGCTCACACGCTCGCGGCGGCGGCGGCGGCGGCGGCGGCGGCGGCGGCGGCGCCCGTCGCGCTCGGCTATCTCTTTTAACTGTGCCAAGCCGGAGCAGCTGCGATAAGTATCGATCATCCGGCCTCCGCGTCACCCTCGCGCTCTCGCGTCTGCGAGGACTTTGGTCGCGTTCGCGACAAGTAGCCGCTCTCTCGGCCGCGAGCCCGTCGCGCGCCGGGACCAGCTCTCGCGCTTGGGATGTGGACGCGTGCGCGCGGCTCGGCCCAACCGAGCTCTCGGCCGCGCGCCTAACATTAACTCCAAGTTAATGGCCCTAGTTGGCTTCGGCGTCGACGACGTCGGGGGAGCGGGGCGCGCCGTCGGCCCCGATCAGCTGACCAGACCAGCTGCTCGGACGGATCCGCCGAATGAGAGTCGCTGCGCCACGGCGGAGCAGAGGGCATGCGCGCGCACGGGGGTGTTATTAGGGGCTTACTCATGGGGTGGCTCGCTACTCTCACATACACCGATCAATGCCAACGGAGATCGCCCCCCGCCCCATCCTTCCGTGTCTCTCTCTCTCTCTCTCTCTCTCTCTCTCTCTCTCTCTCTCTCTCTCTCTCTCTCTCTCTCTCGCTCTCTCACCTCTGCTGCACGCGTGTCTGTAGTATGCTCCGCGCGCCTGTAAATATGCAAATGCACACGCGACCATACGTACGTATTGACGAGCGCGCGAGCTTTGTGCGCGAGCGCGTAGAGTCGGCTTGAGCTTTGAAATGCCACGGGGAAAATCCTGGCGCAGGCTTTGTTGCATAATAACATGTAGCTCGCGAGTGCTCTCGTTACAGGCCAATGTGTCTATAGCGTATTATTACGCGCGGTTCTTTGACTTTTACGCTACCTACGTATATTTACATCGTTTGTTCTACATAAGAGCTACTTCTGCGAGCTTTCACGCTCTTTGATCGGCAAAAAAATACTAATACAAGCGCTCCTCTCGCCAATGCGCCGTTTCCTTCCAACGGCTGCCATTCCTTTTTATTTATTTTTTTCTTCTCAACGGTATTTTCTAACAAAAAAAAAAGTCACTTTAAAGCTGAGCCCGATGCATTGTGAGTAACGCAGACTCACTTCGCGGGAATGAACGAGCTCGCGAACTGCAAATGCGCACGAGCGTTAATACTTTGGGATCCGCGCGGTGTGCAATATGTATCACGAAGCTTTTCAAGGAAGAGTACAAGTGCTTTCAGAAAAAAAAAAAAAAAAAAAAAGGCAAAACAAAACAAAAAGAAAAAGGAAAATCAGCCCTTTCCACGAGAGTTTTTAAGCGCCTTTCCTGAAGGGTAAAAAACGCCTGAAAAGTAATTCAGACGCGAATGAAACGGTTAAAAATATATTACGCTAAAGTCGCGTTTGAAGGGTTGGCAGCTGTTCGGGTTTATTGAGCTTGCAATGAGCGGAGTTTGAAAAAGAAGCAGCGAGAGAAAGCAAGAACGAGTAAAGGCTTGGCAGCGGAGCTTGAGCGCGCGCAGAGCTTGCCGCAGCCGTTAAACGAGCCGATCCGGCTTCTGCGGTCGGCTTCGACTGCCCTCTCCTCGACGATGGTGCTTCAGGCGGCGCGCGACAAACTGCCGCTACAGCTTAAGGGAAAACCTAGCACGCATAGATCGTTGATGGGCTTGGCTAGGTCGATCAACTGCCCGTACAGCGCCGTCGCTTGGTCGCATTATATACAGGATCGCCAGGTTGGAGGCTCGATCGAATCAAGAGTAAGTTACGAAGCTCGCGCGCTCGAACGATATGTAATTCACGATGACGGAAAGGCTGCTCGGCAAAGTGAAAAATCACAGCCGATTATCGCGGCTGCGAATCCGCGTGTAGCCGTGTATAAGTGCATCGCGATCGGATCGGGCTGCGTATGGGCATCGATCACCGGCTGTGACACGTCGTCGCGCGACCCCGTTGGCGCGTGCGAGACTCTCTTTCGTCACCTCCCCCATTCGAAAAGTGCGAGACTTCCAGATGCTTGACTAGCAGTGTATTTCATATTGAGGCTATTTTTAGCAATGTACGCGGTGTATCGATGTGGAACGAATGAAGTCATACGCTGCGTTGATAAGTTATCGCTCGAAA